CGCCCCCATGGGAGCTTCCTACTCTGCCAACCTCACAGGTTTGAGTAAAACAAGCCCCTGCTTAGGCAGAAGTGCTGAAAGCAAACCAGGTCCTTATTCATGTACCCCTGGGGCAGAAAATTCACGGTGGCTCCCACTTAGGTGGGCAGGTCAGCAACCAGTCTGATGTTCCTGCTGGGGATCTGACCGAAGCAGGAGTCTCCCAGAGCGTGGCTTTGCTTCCTGTCCCTCCCTGAAAAGCATGACCCAGACTTGCCTCCATTTGCACATGTATAGCGTGCACCCCATAGTCCCTGTTCAGTTTCCCAGCAGTGACCGAGCCCCATGAGCTGTCTGCTTACCTCCCAAAGCGGGGTGTAACCTGCTTCCATAGGCACTGTCAAGGGGGTAATTTATGACAGGGCAGGAGATTCGCTTAAAGGGAGCTCCAGGGGGGCCCGGGTGGCTCAGTCGGTCAAGTATCCAACGCTTGATTTCAGCTGAGGTCATGATCTCGCGTTTCCTGCTCTGCACCAGCATGTGGAGCCTGCCTGGGATCCTCTCTCTCCCTCTCCGTCTGCCCCAACCCCCTCTCGTGTTCTCTCTCTCTCTCTCTCAAGAAATAGGTAAATAAACTTTCAAAAAAGCGGGGGGCTGGGGCAGGAGTTTCAGATGGAAGTGACAGTGGTTGCAGACCTACTGAATGCCCAGGACAAGCACTGTGCCAGGTACTGGGGACGCAGCCGTGCCTTCATGGGAGGCCCTGCCCTCTTGGTGAGCGGTGTCTGTGTGCGCTAGACAACATATAAGCCCAAATCAAAAGGAAATGGATGACTGGTGGTCGGAACAGAGAAGAAAACAGGGTTCCTGACAGGAGGGAACCTGGTTTGGCTGGGGAGGCAGGACAGATCTCTGTGAGGAAGTGACATTTCCACTGAGACATGAAGAATGGAGAAAAGGAGACAGTCGGGGGAAGACTCTTGTAGGCAGAGGGACCAGTAGGTCTGAGGAAGAAAGTTCTGGGCTTGTCCTTGGGCCTAGAACGAGTGCGGCCGTGTCTGAGTGAGGGGGCCAGGAAGCGTGTGCTGGGAGGTGAAGCAGGAGGGGGAGGCAGGGCAGAAGGTGCAGGGCTTATGGTGTGTCGTAAGGAGTTTGATTCTTGAAAGTGTTTCTCTTTTTATTTTTTGCTTTCTGGGTTGGGGAGGGGACCCATGCCTGGGTGGTGTCCCAGGGCTGTGAGATAAGGGACACCTCACCGGACGCCTGGCCCAGCTTGCAGAAGAGAGGGGTGGGTGCACTCTTCCAGGGCTGCAACTAGAGGCTGAGGGAGAGCCACGCCCAGAACTCCGCCACGCCCAGAAGCTGCTAGACCGTTCAGTTGGCCAGCGCTGGGTGGGGTTCAGGTTCAGGCTGAGCAAGACTAAAGGGTAAGGTGCAAACATCGCTTTCGGTACTGAGGAAAACAAGGTAATAACACCTAGCCTGGAATGTGCAGAACCAGCTGGGTGGAGAGTAGGGTGAAACTGAAGTCTACTGGGAAATCCTGGGAGAGGGAAAATGGAGCCTTGTATTAGAAGGCTAAGTAAAAAAAAAAAAAAAAAAGAATACTAATATTCCAGTGCTTTTAACAACCTTCACAGTGCTTTAGGCAGGGTTCTTGCTTTGCATGCAAAGAAACCCACAGGGCGCTGCAAGTTCAAGGTCACACTGGCCTGGTCTGACAAGTTTTCTGAATTCTGAACCGACTAGGATCTGCCACCTTGCTGGTCAGTAGAATTTGGATTTCTTCTTCATAAAGATCGTTAGAGAAAGAAAGGTCAGGGAACCCTTCGTGCCTGGTGAATAGCTGGACAGTCCGTGCTTCTGGGTCTTGAACAGAGGACAGGGAGCAGGTGGAGTGGGGGAAGGGCTCCCCAAGAAGGCGGGTCTGTGCTGCAAGTTAAGGAGGGGCTGGGAGGGAGGGAAGCTACTTGCAAAGGTGGGCGTCCCAAGCTTCGCAGGGGACGGCAACAGAAAATAAGGCTATGGGAAGCTGGGAGCGTGGGCAAGGGTTTCCCCTGACATGCCATCTGTGGTGTCTTCTAGGCCCAGAGGCTGCTGGCCCGGCAGAGGCCCCAGCGGCCCTTCTTGGAATCCTTCATCCGGGTCCTCATCATTGTGTGTGCCGCCCTGGCCCTGGTCCTCTCCTCCGTCTCCATCTGCGATGGCCACTGGCTGCTGGCTGAGGACCGCCTCTTTGGGCTCTGGCACTTCTGCACTTCCTCCAACCAGACGGGGCCACGCTGCCTCAGGGACCTGAGTCAGGCCCACGTGCCCGGGCTGGCCGTGGGCATGGTCCTGGCCCGCAGCGTGGGCGCATTGGCTGTGGTGGTCGCCATTTTGGGCCTGGAGCTCCTCATGGTGTCCCAGGTGTGTGAAGACCTCCACTCACGGCGCAAGTGGGCTGTGGGCTGTGTCCTCCTCCTCGTCTCTTTCATCCTCTCGTCCGGGGGGCTCCTGAGTTTCGTGATCCTCCTCTGGAACCAGGTCACGCTCATTGGTTTCACCCTGATGTTCTGGTGCGAGTTCACGGCCTCCTTCCTCTTCTTTCTGAATGCCATCAGCGGCCTTCACGTCAACAGCATCACCCATCCCTGGAGCCAACCGAGGAAGTTTTAGGCCTCCCTCCTAAATCCGAGGACGTCAGGTTCTACAAGAAAGTGTGGTCAAGACGGGACTTTTTCAACACGTGACCTCTGATGGGGGTTGGGGTGGGACCGTGACCTTGAAACTGCTGCTGCTTAGTCCATAACATTTTGGTGGTTGGCCAGAACCAGCCCAGTGGCCTTTGCAGCTGGCCTGCAGAGGTCAGGAGCGTCCCTAGGGCCACCAGCTGCACAGCCTTAGCCAAGTTATTAGGATGTTGATTTTAGAAGTTAACACATTTTAAGACTCTTTTCTTGAATCCTTCTTCCCAGGATGGGACTAGATTAGGAAGCAGCTTGGGTGACTGGTGCCTGGGCTGGCTGCACAGCTAAGTGAAGTTCACCCTTGTTTTATTGACTGTGTGCCAGGGTAGGGGCAGGTGGGTCCCTGGGATCCCCTGGGGTTGCCCAGAGCAGATCATTCTTCCAGCTAAGCATATCCAGTCAGTGCCTAGGACTTTCTTCCACCAGCCCAAAGAACCTCTGTGCACCTTTCCTTGCTATAGCTTTGGTCATGTTATTGAGGATTCCCTCAATGTCTTGCACATAATAGGTTTTTAAACCATTTGACTTGATTTGAACCCTGCCTTTGCGGTGGGGGTGGGAGGGGCATAATCCATGAATAACCTCAGCCGCCAGCAGCCGGCCATCTCTGCTGTCTGTGGGAATCCTGCCTTAATTCTTCGAACCAGCTTCCCAGGATGGCCCACCAACCTTCCAATACACAGTCCTCCCTGAGGCGAGCATGTGTGCGTGTCTGTCTTTGGCAAGGGTCAGACGGCCTCAAGGTACCATTTTTGGCTCCCAGAGCACATATCTGGACCTGCTGGACTCCAGGGGGTAAAGGGGACTTGCCTACACTTGGAATGATTACCACCCATCCTGGGGATGAGTGCAGGTGAAGGGGACCAGGAACCAGTGGAGAGTTCCATCCTTGCTGGCAAATCTGCGTTTTTGTGCAGCCAATTGCCCCCTTCCCAGTTTCTTTTCTGCCCAGTAGCTTCAACCGTTTCATTCCACACTAGCCCCTTCCCCCTCCACCTGGTCCATCCTGGCTGCTGGTCACTGTATGGGTTTTTGGTCTCTTGCCCCACCCTCATTACTGCAAGTGCCCTTTCTGGGTGCTTCTATCTATCCCCTGTGGCTTTTTTTTTTTTTTTTTTAATTTTTTAAACTTGAAGTTTAAAAGCACAAGTGGGGAAGGGGTGGAGAGAAGGAGAGACAGAATGCTGAGCAGGCTCTGCGTTGGCTCTCAGCACAGAGCCCGATGCGGGGCCCCAACTCCTGAACCGTAAGATCATGACCCAAGCCCAGATCAAGACGCTTAACCAACTGAGCCACGCAGGCACCCCCTGTGGTGGCTTTTTAAAAACTTCTATTTCCAAATGCATGTGGAGTCCATGGAGATCAAGAAAGATGTCATGGGCCAACCAGTTTTTCAGAGAGCAGAGCTCATCAACCATACAGGCTGGGTTCTTGGCCCTGGAAAATAAGCACCTGGGCTTTCATTCCAGAGACCCTTCACAAGGTACAAAGGGGTGACTTCCTTGTCTCTGCAGTGGGGAGATGCAGGGGTGGGAAGCCAGGGCCCAGGAGGGGACAGCACTTGTCCAAGGTCACCCACCAGCAAGATGCCTTTTCCTTTATGTTGGGGCTTCTGTCTAGAATGCTTTCCCCTGAACACTAATAGGCTGTGTTTTGTAAAAGGGTTCAAATAGTCCCGTTTAATCCTCACACGGCTGGTGGGAGAGGGAGTGCCAATAGTCCAGGAAACTAAAATCCAAAGACAAAAAGGGGAGACAGATCCCCATGGGACAGGGAGACAGGCCCTTGCCCCCCTGCCTAGGAGTGAAGACAGACACAGCCTTGGAGCACAGGGATTTGAACCCAAAAGCCCTGGACTGAACTTGTGCCCCTGCTTGCTGAGTATCTTGGGCAAGTCACAGGACCTTCGTGAACCTGTTTCTTTTTCTGCCCAATGGGATCCTGCCCCCTTCCTGGCTATTCTGCCTCTTGGGCTGCAGGTGACTGTGAAAGAGGAGGCACGGGAGGGTGCCTTGTACCCTGTTGGGTTACTAAAAGGAAGCTGGGGATCTTGGCGTCTCTCTTGGCTTCACTGACATGGTCAGGTTAATCCAGTTGTCTTGAGGCTCTAGGGTGAGAGCTACTGGACAGGTGAGTTGTAGTGAGGGATAAGGAGGGTCCATCTAGGGCCAAGGGTCTCGACTGCCATGTTTCCTGGGCTTCGAGCTTATTCCTGCAGGAAGGGGTAGGGAAGGCCAGCCTTAGCATCCTTCACCTTGTGTCTCGAGGGCTAAAGGAGAGCGGGCAATTACATACCAGACCCATCCCAGCTACCGTTTATTTCCCTGCCTTCTGGAACCCTTGGACTGCCCTGCGCATAACACAACAGACCCAAATCCCAGGCCCTCGTCCTGCCCCACGGTGCCTGTGCTTTGATCAGTTCTGAGGAATTCTCGCTACAGCCCCCTCCCCAACCCGAGGCCCAGAGGAGGGGAGTTCTTGGTCACAGGAGAAAAGCCTATGATGTCTGCTGAGAAGACCGATACGGACTGTCCTGCAGCAATGTCTAGCCTTCTCGTGACCCATCTTGGTCTCTGTCCCGTGCGTGGCCCTGCTGCAGCCTCTCAGATGACACTGGCCCTGCAGGTGCCCCCGCTCTGCTCTGAGGTGCTGGCCTTGGTGCTGTGGGTGAGGCCGCTGGTGCCATTGCTGAAGGTGGAGTTGAGGGCCACGGGGCGCAGTAGAAACTCACGGACGTGCCACTGCCGCCACTTCTTCTGAACCTCCAGCTGCACCTGCCCCCAGAGACCACCATCAGTGGAGGAGAGAAGAACCAACCTTGTACCCTCAGTCCCATTCACCCCCACCCCCACCCCCAGGACCTCAGCATAGTCCCACAACTTGTATCTTCCCCTCTCCTGCAGGCCCCTCAGATTGGCCATTTCCGGCCCCAACATCCAGTAGGTATTGAGGGCCCCTCTCTCCTGGACACTTTCACCTTCCCTCTTGCCGCCTGGGTCCCAAGGAAGGGGCTTAGGGCTGTCTCACAAATTCCAGAACTCCAGAATTAATCAGGTCATCACCTGGGACAAACTGGACTCCTTCCCATGAAGCCTCCCTAGCTCACAACTTAATCTGGGGGCCCGGGAGTTGCTCTTTGGAAATGTCCTCCACGGTGCCCAGCTGTAGCAGCCCAAACCTTTGAAGCCAGGCTTCATGCCTGAGTTTTGGAAAACAGGTTATTCCCATTCAAGTGTGGCGAACCAGTTTGATGGTCGACAGTTCTTGAAAGGCCTTACTTGTGTGAAGGACTGTATTCAGCTAGTGGTTGGGCTGCTTCTGTGTGTGTCCTCCCCCAACTGCTCTGCTCAGGAGCAGAGACTTCATAGGAAGTGTCTGGCCCTCCCAGGAGTCCACACTCATTTGGAGGGTCTTTGAGGATGGATTTGCTGTTACTGCCTCTGCGCCATTTTACAGATGGGAACACTGAGGCCCATTGAAGGGCAGTGGGCAGTGAGCAGGGTCACCCACCAGGCAAAGCAGCAGAGCAGTCGGGAGCCCGGGTTCTTGTTGGGGTGCCCGTACTTCCCTCTTTCCTGGATTTGCTCTAGGGTAAGAACCTCCTGGAGAGAGCTTGTTAAACATTTTCAGGCTCCAGCCCAGACATACAGAATCCCCCTTGTGCTGAACGGAGGGTCGTGCGCAGTAATTGTGTGAACTAGGCTTCTGGGTGCTTCGATGTTCCCATGAAGTGAGCTCAGGAGACCCAGCCCACACCCCACCTCTCCCACCACCTTTTCCGGGGAGCTCCTGAACAGGGATCCAGTGGCTAGGAAGCTCCTCTCTCCAGGCCAGCTGAGAACTCACCTCCCCATTGAGGAAGCAGTACAGGACGGCCACCACCAGGCCCTGTGGGGGGGGGGGGGCAAGGCAGGAGGGGTCAGTGCAGGTACTCCTGTACCCAGCCTCCCTTCAGCTTCCCCCCCACATCCTTGAATTGCCAGCCCCAGGCTCACTTCTCCCCAGGAAGTGTCCCAGAGCCTTCTCACACCTCTCACCTCAGGGGGAATTAGGGCTACGTCCTCTGAGCCCCCTACTGTACCCCCTGGCTCTGCTGGCATCATCCAGCATAGACTCAGCTCCTTAGGGCAAGGGCAGGGCCCGTTTTGTCTGTGAGCCCAGTGTCCAGCATCGGGCATTGGACACCTGTGGTTCCAGCAACCACAGAGTAGAAGCTGCTAACTTGGGCCCGTGGGGACCAGGCCAGTCCCCTGAGTTAGTAAGGCGGGCCATCTGGGAGAAGCAGAGACTGGTGGCGCCCAAAGCGCACTGTCCCTCAGGTAGGGGGAGGGGCCGGCCCCTGCGAGACCCTGGGCCTGGTGTGGGCTCATTTTCAAGATCAGCTGGAAATCCGGAGGCGGTCCACCACGGCCAGCTCTTCACACTGAAACACGAAGGTGTGAATGTGAAATCAGCAAAGCCCGCGTGCTGGTGCTGGCCTGCCAAAAGTGGGGTGTGTGCGACCTCCCCGTATACATCTCCTTGGTTAGGGGCCTCGGGGCTGTGTGCACTCTTATGTTCCCTGGTGTGATGGAGGTCTGTGCCTGTCAGGACCCTTCCTCACTAGTATCTGCAGCTTCTGTTTTCCCAGTGGTCCTGGCACGGAGCTCGGCCAGGGACTCCAGTCTTGAGATGCAGGGTTTGAGGCCAAGAGACCTGCTGGGGACCATAAGCGAAGGGCAGGGTCTCTGCAGTGCTTACGTCCTGCTCACCTCCTCAGGGACCCCTCAGGTCAGCCTGCCCTTCCTTCTGCCCTGCAGCTTCCCTGGCTGGTGGGCACCCTTCCCCTCAGAGGTCTGCGTGCCATAGCGCTGACCTCAGGGGGGCTCCCTTCCCCTTCCCGGTCCCATCCAGACCTGCCTTTACCTACTTACCACATTGGAAAGGACCGCAGAGGAGGATGAACCAGCCCAGCTATGGTAGACTTAATACATACAATGGCTCAGGGCTGTTGGCATTTTAACAATGACAAAACTCAAGGATTTGCTTTAGACTATCAGGCATCGGGGACTGCTACGTAGAACGGAGACCATTTGGGGGAAGTGGGCGGCAGGAACGCCTACTCGAGGCTGCAGTTTCCAAATTCTGTAGCACGTTAGGATCGCCTGGGAGCTTTTGCCTAGGTTACCCCAAATCCGAATGCCTGAGGACGGATGATCTCAGACTGGGGCACCTGAGAGGCTCAGTCAAGTGTCTGATTCTTGATTTCATCTCAGGTCATGATCACATGGAGAAATCAAGTCCCGTATCGGGCTCTGTGCTGGACATGGAGCCTGCTTGAAAATCTGTCTCTGAAAATCCGTCTCCTTTCTCTGCCCCTCCTCCACCCCTTTCTCTGTCTCAAAAAAAAAAAAAAAATTCCAGGTGGTTCTCCGGCATTCTCACCTGGGAGCCTCTGTCAGCAGATGGAAAAGTCAGGCTTTAAGGTGAGACAACTAGATGTGGAGTTGTCTGACCCACATAACCATGGGGTTCTGGGCTCTAGGGGCTTCATTGAATCCTTGCCAAAGCCCTAGCGGGGGAGGGGGAGGACCCCGATTTTACAGGTGAAGGAACTGGGTCACAGGGGTTTAGGCAGGACTGGCCCCGTGCTTGGCCCAGAGCCGGTGGTCAGGCTGCTGGCTGTGGATGGCGCCCACCTCATGGGGCCCAGGGGTGCCTGGGCCTCCAAGATCCGGAGACACATTTTCACAGTTCAGGTGAGGGCCAGAGCCCCGGGTGAGGGAAAGTGAGTTGTGCCCCAGGTACATATAGAGCAGGCCTCGTACAGCCAGCGAGTTTAAGAAATTCCACAGTTTTTGGGGCGCCTGGGTGGCTCAGTCGGTTGAGCATCCGGCTTCGGCTCAGGTCATGATCTCGCAGTCTGTGAGTTCGAGCCCCGCGTCGGGCTCTGTGCTGACAGCTCAGAGCCTGGAGCCTGTTTCAGATTCTGTGTCTCCCTCTCTCTGACCCTCCCCCGTTCATGGTCTGTCTCTCTCTGTCTCAGAAATAAACATTAAAAAAAATTTTTTTTAATTAAAAAAAAAAAAAGAAATTCCACAGTTTTTATACAATCATTAAAAATGAAGTCTTTGAAGAATTTTAGTGACGTGGAGGCAACAGGAAGATAGAGAATTAGAACACACAAGATAGGACACCACACATTAAAAAAAAAAAAAAAAAAAGAGGGAAACCACACATAGCATGACCTCAGTTATATAAGCTGTGCGTACATAAGTGTCTTCCTGGATAGAAAAGAGACTTAAAAGAAAAAAAAAAGATGTAGAAGTAAACCCACCATCATTTTTAGCAGATTATCTCTGGGGCCATGAGATGATGGATGATTTTTTTTTCTTTTTTAATGGTTCCTTATTTTCAAAATTTTCTACAACAACTCTTACGTGTACAATCAGAAAAAGCCAGAAGTATATGACAGGGTGCCTGGGTGACCCAGTCGGTTAAGTGTCCGACTCTTGATTTCAGCTCAGGTCATGATCTCACGGTTCGTGAGATCGAGCCCCGCGTGGGGCTCAGTGCTGACAGCACAGAGCCTGCTTGGGATTCTCTCTCTCAAAATAAACATTAAAATAAAAGTATATGCCGTTGATAATGTATTGTGGCTCTGTGTGTGTTCGTTCAGCCCCTGTCTTTTAGAGATTCGGACTAGAATATTCACATTTGAATAAAACAGTCTTTGATTTGATTAAAATGAGGGGGGACATGGTGGAGGAAGCAGCTGGGGACAGACATGAAACATACCCGCCTTGAGTGGGCAGTGACTACATGGGGGCTCACTATCTACTATTCTCTTTAATATATGGGAGATATTTTCTATAATATAGAATTTTTAAAATATATACATTATATAAAATATACATGGGTAATAGAGAATCAAGTGATACATGTTTGTATGTGAGCAAAGTTTAAAGAAACCTTAACGATCCATTTTCTTTGTAAACATAGAATGTTTCTATGAGAACATTCTGAAAGTGCTTTTGGGTTTTCTCTTGACAAGCCATTTCCTTCGAGAGAAACCAAATGGCCCAGCCCCAGCCACAAGCCCCAACTCCAGGGGACAGGAAGTTCCCTTTCTGTGCAGGGAGGCAGACATGGGTATCTGTGCTCTCAGTGAGGTCACTACCCACTTCTGGAAGCCAGGTCATGGCCTTCCACCCACGTGGACCTGGAATCCCCCACCTGCCGAATGGGCCATTGTGAGCCCAGCCTTCCCACACAGTACAAGAGCAGGTGGACACGGAAACCCTGGATGAAGAAACGAAGAATGTGGATTACATAAGAGGCTGGGTTCTCTGGAGCCTGGGGCACCGGCAGGGAGCTCTGGGCAGAGGGCACAGCCCTGAAGGCAGGGTGTGGAGAAGACCTGACTCTATTCAATGACGTGTGCCCAGTGATGTGTCCTCCCCGGAACCTGAAAGTGACAGAAGGGTGACCCCGGCCTCACCCACCCTGAACTGAACTCAGGCAACAAGGGAGACTCTGAGCCCCGTCCTGAGACCAAAGCCTCCCCAGTGAGGAGGACTTTGCAGGATAATCAATCTTGTTGCGGACAGGCTGGCTTCTTTAGGAAAATCCACTGGGAGAAATTTCTCTCAGGCCCTGAAGCCTATCATCTCTAGGCTTTTCCTGGGAATTTGCTTGTTTCCCTTGCGGATATTATAAATCTTAGAACAGACTGTGTTTCTGTTTTTGCTCTGGCTACTGGAAATCTCTAAGTTCTCCCACCTTCCTAGCACTCTCCTGAATTTGCTTCTCTGTATGAACTCAATTTTGGTTTTTATTTTTATTTTTTTCACTGATCCTTCGCTACCTGTGTTTTTCTTTTCTTTTTTTTTGTCCTCTGTATGGTTTTCCTGAAAGCTACATCATCTTATTTTTGGAAGGAGACAGCGATGAGTAAACAAAATAACACTGTGACGTTTGGGATTCATGTTAAGAGTCCTTCTGTCTAAACACGTTTACTGTTTTGTTTTGTTTTTAAGCCTCACAACATCTCGAATGAATAGGTAGGCGCTTTCTTCCCTCACTTTCTTTCTTCCTTTTTTTTTTTTTTTTTTTAGGTTGGGTATTATTCTCAGTAAGTTGTGTATGCATGCAAGTTTCAAAGAGTCAAATGATTGCTGTCACAAAACAACAGCAGCCTCCTAACACCCCTGCCCCCATTTCCTGTTCCTCAGAGGCAACAACTTGGAATTCTTTTCACTGGTTCTGAAGAATATGCTGATGATGCTACTTCTGGATTTTTCGGTTTGGGGCATTTTTTATGGACTTCCCAGTATGAAGACGAAGATATTATTCTCTTTCAGATGCCCTCTCCCTCATTCCCACAATGTTCCTCTTCCTGCCCTGCTTTGTGATGGCTCAGCCATAGCCCTCAGCACTAAGGCTATTTTGACTACCTATAAACTGTGGAGAGGTGTGCAATGCAGTATGTGGGGTTATTTTTCCCTTTCGTCTTCCCTGGAGTCAGTCTCTCTCCTTAGTTTTACCTCCCACCCCCATCTGACTGGTGGGGAACTTGGGTCCCACAGCACAGTGAGGTCCTGCCCAGCTTCTCTTGGATGTCGGCCAAACCAGGCACCCCAAAACCCCCTGCTGGACCCTTCTGGGAAGACCTGGCTTGCCGCCTCTGTGGTCTCCATTTCTCTTTAAGGAAAGAGAGAACTCCCGAAAGTCACAGTCCCGTGAAACTTACCTGGAACGAGCCAAGGGCCAATTCAAAGAACAGCTGGACCTCCATGGCATCTTCTGGGGAGAAGGCGAAGATGATGTAGTGGACTCCGAAGAGGGGGATCAGCAGGAGGGTAGACTTGGCCAGGCGCCTACAGACACAGACCCAGACCCGCTGCGGTGTCCTGCCCCCTTCGCCCAGGGCACAGCTCCACACACCCAACCTGCCTGACTGCAGGAGGCCAGCGGAGGCCCCCTCCCTCAACCTTTGTGGTTTGACTTTTCATTCTAGAGAATTTCTAACTCCCCATACCCACCACCCATGGCCAGTCCCCAAAATACCTGATTACGCACCCCGATCGGCAAATAACATTTGGACACAAACCCACCCAAACAACTTTATTATTTATAAATGATGTGCATGTGTTATTTAACATATTATTCGCAAAGCCAGGATTCTTTTTTTTTTTTTTTTTTTTTAATAATAAATGCCTATAAGGAGATGTGCTTTTTTTTTTCTTCCCAGATTAGGGTTGCTAAATTTAGCAAATAAAAAATACAGGATGCCCAGTTCAATTTGAATTTCAGATAAGCAAAGGATCATATTTTTTTGAGTAAGCAACTAAAACACTATTTGTTGTTTATCCAAAATTCACACTGAACTGGGCATCCTGTATTCTATCTTGCAGCTTTATCCTGGAGAATGTCCTGGAGAACCTGTCACCAAGTAATCCAACTCACTGCCGGATTCTCAAAGCTCAGAACCTCACCGAGAAAGCCCTTGCTGGACACTGATTTGTCTTTAACTGTTCTGTGCTGAATTACATCTCCCCAGCCCCAATTCATAAATTGAAGCCCTGGGGCGCCTGGGTGGCGCAGTCGGTTAAGCGTCCGACTTCAGCCAGGTCATGATCTCGCGGTCCGTGGGTTCGAGCCCCGCGTCGGACTCTGGGCTGATGGCTCAGAGCCTGGAGCCTGTTTCCGATTCTGTGTCTCCCTCTCTCTCTGCCCCTCCCCTGTTCATGCTCTGTCTCTCTCTGTCCCAAAAATAAATAAACGTTGGAAAAAAAAAATTAAAAAAAAAAAAAAAAAAAGAAGAAGAGGAAGAGACACCTCTGAGCACAGACAAAAGGACCCAGGGAGAAGGCAGCCGTCTACAAGGCAAGGAGAGGGGCCTCAGAGGAAACCAGTCCTGCCGGCACCTTGACCTTGGGTTTCCAGCCTCCAGAACTGCCAGTAAGTTTCTCTTCTTTAAGCCACCCAGTGTGTGGTTATGTTATAGTAGACCTAGCAAACTAGTACAGCATCTCCCTTCAACTTCTTAAAGGTTTCAGAGTATTTCTGGATCACATATCTTGAAAATCTGATGAAGGCCATTCTCCCTTGAACAATACACAGACCTATATCGATGTCCCTGAAGCTGGGTCCCCGAAACCCATCAGGAGAGTCCCTGGCGTTGCCCCAAGCACAAATCTCTGCTTCCTGGGATCCTGAGAGATTTCTTATCTTCCCACCACTGGGGCAGCCTTCTCAGGCTGCACAAAGGACCCATCCCACCCCCAACCCCACCCCCATTCCTATTTACATTTGTAACCTCCCAGGAACTAGGTCCAGTTGGGTAAACAATAGGTGCTCAGGAAATACGTGCTGACTGAGCAAGCCTTGTCTTTGCCTTCCACTTACTTATAATGGTTCGCTTCATTTCCTCTTGTCTCTTGGGTTCTCAGTTTTCTCATCAGGATTCTTAGGATGTTTATAAAAAGGATGAAATTAATCTGTAAAACACAAGACAGAGGTGGGGCTGAAGGTGATCGCCACCCCTCCAGGCCCCTGACCCCTGGACCTGAGGGCAGAGAAGGCACTGCAGGCCACACCCGAGATTGCACCACTGTGCCTCCCCTCACCTGCCCCACAGTCCTGGTGGAGCAAACCTATGGGAGGGGATGACTGACCCGGCACCCGCTCCTACCCCCTGGCTGCTGGAGCTCTGAGGTCTGCTCAGTTGCCATCAGGGATTATTCACACTGGGGGTGCATTGAAACCCCTGGGGACCTTGTTAAAATGCAGGTTTCGGGTGACCTGGAAGTCTGTATTTCCATCAAGCTCCAGATGATGTCAAAGCTGGTCCTCGACTACACTTTAAGCAGCACGGCTTTCTTCCAGCAGAGGCTTTGTTGTCATTTTAATGTTTATTTATTTTGAGAGAGAGAGAGAAAGCTCAAACAGGGGAGGGGCAGAGAGACGGGGCGAGAGAGAATCCCAAGCAGGTTCTGCACTGCCAGTGCAGAGCCCGATGTGGGGCTCGAACTTACAAGCCCTGAGATCATGACCTCAGCCAAAACCAACAGGCAGATGCTTAACAACTGAGCCACCCGGGTGCCCCACCAGCAGAGGTTCTTAAGGTTTAGGGTATTGACTGGGGGGTGGGGGTGGGGTCCCAAGGCTATAGGTCAGTAAATCTGGGGTGGGGCCCAAGAATTTGCACTTTTAACAAGCTTCCAGGTGATGGTGAAGCTGCCGGCCTGGGGACCATACTTTGAGAACCACTGCCTCAGAGCCTTATAGCCTCACTTTGCAGTTCAATCACCAACTCCAGGAAGCCACCCTTGATCACCTCTCTTTTCCTGATATATTGCAGTGAGGGATCATGTCGCTGTGTAAGCACTTGAAATGTTTGAAAGAGGACAAACGCATGCGTCTGTCAAACTTGTGCGTGTCCACATATCCGCCAGTCCCAATCCCAACTTCCTAAAGGACAGGAATGTAGTCTGTTTATTTCTTTTGGTGTTGCCTTCCCGGGTCCCAGTACCAGAATGTTATAAAGATGCCCACTCGGGGGTACCTCTCCTCCTCTCTCACCCACCTACGGGCTCCAGCACCATTTACAGAAGCAGGGATCAGTGGGCTCGGCCAGCCGGGCACCCTCCTGGTTCACCCAAACAGCCTGGGGCCTGGGAATGCTGGCCACAAGACAAGGATTAGAGGCCTGTCAGGACTCCTAGCCCAGCTGCTGCTTCAGGAACATGCTTCTCAGCTTGTTTGTTTATGCCTCTCGCTCAGAGCTGGCTATGCATGGTGTATATGAATAAAAGCTTTTTTTTTTTCCTTTTTTTTTTGTTTTAGAGTTTGATTCAATTTAATAGGGAGCACTGGAAAGAAAAAAAAAAAAAAAAAAAATTCTCTATGATCCCAAGAATGAGTCCCAAATAGTGAAATTCCAGGCCCTGTGACCAACTGGTTGGGAGGTTTTTATTTTGTTTCGTTTCGTTTTGTTTTTTTTGTTTTTTTTTTAATTTTTTTTTTCAACGTTTTTTATTTTGGGGACAGAGAGAGAGAGAGAGAGAGAGAGAGCATGAACGGGGGAGGGGCAGAGAGAGAGGGAGACACAGAATCGGAAACAGGCTCCAGGCTCCGAGCCGTCAGCCCAGAGCCCGACGCGGGGCTCGAACTCACGGACCGCGAGATCGTGACCTGGCTGAAGTCGGACGCTTAACCGACTGCGCCATCCAGGCGCCCCTCGTTTTGTTTTTTTAAGTTCTTACTTAAGTAGTCTTTGCACCCAATGTGGGGCTCAAACTCATGACCCTGAGATCAAGAGTCATAGCTCTTCCTTTTTTCTTTTTTTTTTTTAAGATAAAACCTTTTATATTTTTCTTTCTTTATTTTTTATGTTGATTTATTTTTGAAAGAGAGAGAGACAGAGACTGAGCATGAGTGGGGAGGGCCAGAGACAGAGAGGGAGACACAGAATCCAAAGCAGGCTCCAGGCTCTGAGCTGTCAGCACAGAGCCCAACATGGAGCTCGAACCCACAAGCTGTGAGATCACGACCTGAGCCGAAGTCAGACACCTAACTGACTGAGCCACTCAGGTGCCCCATTCACATGCTCTTCCAATCGAGCCATCCAGGTGCCCTTGTTGGGAGATATGTTGCATCAGGAGTATCCACCAAACATTCAATCGCTAGATAGACCCAGTCCCATGAAATCTGCCAGGACGCTGGGGCCCACTGTCCCTCCGCTGGGGCTCTCCTGGGCTGGGCTGTCAGATTCCCAGAATTATAGCAAGGAAACTGGCCTAACTGAATGAGGAAATGCCCTCCTGTGGGAATATCATGCAGTCATAGCACATTGGTTCGTTAGATGATTTCAAAGGACATGGGACACCTCACATCTCTTGCTAAGTGAAAAACCAAACTAGAATACAAAACTATATTAAGCATTTTGAAAAGAGTATGTTTTTCCTCAAAGAAAAAGGAAAGAAAAGCACATGTGTATTCATTGTGTGTATCTAGGTGCTAAAAGTATGTGCGATTTTATTCCCTTTTGAAAAACAGACTTTGTATCTTCCAACTTTTCTTTTTACATGAAGCCTATTATTTAGAAAAAGGGGGCGGGCACACCTATGTGGCTCAGTCAGTTAGGCATCGACTCCTTATTTTGGCTCGGGTCATGATCTCCCAGTCGTGGGATCAAGCCCCGAGTAGGGCTCTGTGCTGACAGCATGGAGCCTGCTTGAGATTCTTTCTCTCCCCCTTGCTCTCTCTTCCCCTTCCCCGCTCACGCATGTGCACTCACTTTCTGTCTCCAAATAAATAAACAAGCTTTCAAAAAATGCTCAAAAGGGGCACCTGGGTGGCTCAGTCAGTTGCACCTACAAGTTTAGCTCAAGTCAGGATCTCATGGTTTGTGAGTTCGAGCCCGGCATCGGGCTCACTGCTGTCAGCCTGTCGGCACAGAGCCCTCTTCGGATCCTCTGTTCCCCTCTCTCTGCCCCTCCTCCCACCTCCAAAAAAAATTTTTTTAATGTTAAAAAAGAAAAAAGGAGGGAGGTCATGGGATGGCAGGATGGCTCCCTTCCCCCAACTGCCCCTAGAAGGTCACCAGCCAGCCAGTGGAAGAGGAGGGGCTGCTGCCCTGTGCGGCACCCCTGCCCCGCCCCAGAGAGCCCATGAAGGGCACTTCCTGTCAACTGGTCCTGTAGCCATGGGGTCCCCCTGAACCCTGCGCCCGGCTGAGGGGCTGATTCCATCCAGGAGACAACCCGAGGGTGTCCCCCGTCCTCTGTCCCCCTATTTCATATCCACACCCACAGGCTCAGCTCCAGGGCTCCCAACCCTGACTGCAGAGTAGAAGCACCTGAGAACGTAAACCAGAGATTGATGTCCGGGCCACTCCCCAGAACAACGAGAGCAGAATCTCTGGTCCTCAGTATTTTTTTTTTTTTTTTAATGTTTATTGATTTACTTTGAGAAAGAGACACAGAGAGGGACAGAGAGTGGGAGAGACAATCCCAAGCAGGCTTCGCCTGTCAGCGCAGAGCCTGCTGCAGGGCTCCAACTCACAAACCGTGATATCATGAGCTGAGCTGAAATCGAGTCGGACGCTCATCGACTGAGGAACCCGGGTGCTCTGGCCATCAGTATTGTTAAACAGCTCCCAGGTGATTCTGAAGGGCATCCCAGTTGAGACCCTCTGGGTTCCCTGTCCCTAAGTCACTCTTGTATCTCCTCCCCACCCCTCCCAACAGCACCCTGAGGGCCCAAGACCATGCCTCACTCAGCTTTCCTCAGCTCCCTGCCTATGATCCCAGCTCAATGATTCTTCCCAGTAACAAGGGGATGCCTAGAAAACAGATCAGGACAGGACCCAAAGATCTGAAGGGGGGGGGGTGGTTTCAGCACAGAGCCAGCCAGGTTAGGGCAAGGAGCTCGGCTAATCACATTTCAGTGGCTACTCACAGACCAAAGGGAGTTATGGAACCTCCTAACTGCCCCTCCCACTTCCATCCGCCATTCTCTGGGGGGCGGAGCTTCTAGACCCTCCTGCGGCCGCCAACCTCTGCAAGTTCTGTGGTTGATCCCTCCCCACACCAGGAGGGAGCCCTGTCTCTTGGCCTTTTGTCCAGGCCAGTCACTGTTGCCCTCTCTCCCACTGGAGCCCAGCTCAGGAAGATGGCCACTCACCAGGATGGAGAGGATCACAGGCCCTCGAATGACCCACCAGATGGACGCGTTGGCGTTGATGTCCCAGCACCTGTGGACAGCCAGGCTCCGTTAGGCGTGGAGAGCTGAGCTGACCTGGAAAGGCTAGTCCTCTGAGGAGCCCTTCGTATGAATGGCCCATGCTGGTGACCCTGAGCACTGCGGCTGTGTGCCCAGTGCTATCAGAAACGACTCTCCCCTCTGGCTCAGAGCACATCTGAGGCTGACGATGCCTCCAGAGAACTCGCCTGTGGCCCCCAGTTTGAAAAACAGGCCTCTCCTAGATAGCTCCCAACAAGTGTCCATCCTGTTCGAAGAGCTGGATGATATAAAATACTCTCCTGTTACCTCTCCTTCAAGCAGCTTACCCAACATCTTCCAGAAAGTGCCTGCTGATGGCCCACGAAGCAACAAAAACAGCTGGGGAACCTGAAGAATAAAAGCAAAGGGAGGGACGGGAGAGAGGGGACTCAGTTTTCAACACCCGCACAGGGACAGGACAGTTACCCCAGCCCAGTAGTGAACAGGTGCATGGAACCCCCTAGGAAATCCTGTGCAAATGGGTAGCCTCCTGCTTCAAGGGTGGCAGGGACGCCCTGGGAACTGAGGACGCCCTGGGCCTCAGATGGATCCTGAAGGCCACGAGGGGCTCTGGGGCTCCTGGGAGCCCGGGCCAGACTCAGGAGGGCCTCTGCCCGGAAGAGAAGGCTGAAGTGATTGATGGTCTACGCCTGTGCTGTTAGTGGCCACTCGCCGCATGTCGCGAGTGAGTACCTGATACGTGGCTGGTCCCGGGGGAGATGTGCTGTAAGTGCAAGACACCGGATTTTGAAGATTTGTAGGAATAAAAGAATGTGAAGTGGGTTAATTTTTATGTTAATTGCATGTTGAAATGATAGTATTTTTACACTGGGCTAAATGAAATAATATATTATTAAGATTAATTTCACCTGTTTCTTTTTACTGGGTTTACTGTGGCTACTGGAAATTTGCATTTATTTTTTTAAGTTTATTTTGAGAGAGAGAGAGTGGAGGAGGGGCAGAGAGAGAGGGATAGAGAAAGAATCCCAAGCAGGGAAGCCTGATGCAGGGCTTGAACTCCCAACCCGCGAGATCATGACCTGAGCCAAGACGGACACTTAACCAACAGAGCCACCCAGGTACCCCTAGAAAATTTTCAGTTATATATGTGGCCCATTCTGTTTCTTTTTAAGTTCATTTATTTTGAGGGAGAATGAGGCAGAGGGGCAGAGAGAGAATCCCAAGCGGGCTCTGTGACTCAAGGCTCGATCCCACAATCTGTGAGATGGTGACCTGAGCTGAGATCAGAAGTCGGATGATTAACCAACTGAGCCACCCAGGCGCCCTGGCTCATTCTATTTCTAATGGACAAGCTTGTCTGCACTTGAATGGCAAGAGCCACATCCCCAGGCTGCGTGGCTTCCAGACCTCCAGCAGCCAGGTTTATACCCTAGCTCCAGCCCTCCACACACACCTCTACCCCAGGGAGGAGATCAAAGGAGTTTTCTCTGGAGGAATCAAACAGCCTCAGACAAAGGGCCTACAGATGGTGATGCTGGGGACCCCCCAACACAGCGGCCACTTCCAGGCCAGTCTCTCTGAGAGACATACCATGTACGTACCCCCCACCCCCCCCCCCCCCCCGCACACAGGGCCTTCAGTCAGCTCTGAAGTGACTCATTCTTTTTTTTTTTTTTAGTGTTTTTTTTAAATGTTTATTTTTATTTTTGAGAGAGACAGAAGGCGAGCAGGGGAGGGCACAGAGAGAGGGAGACACAGAATCTGAAGCAGGCTCCAGGCTCTGAGCTGTCAGCACAGAGTCCGACATGGGGCTGGAACCCATGAACTACAAGATCATGACCTGAGCCAAAGCTGGATGCTTCACTGACTGAACCACCCAGGCATCCCATTCTTTTTTTTTTTTTGTAAGTTTGTTTGTTTGTTTATTTGTTTATTTATCTATCTGTTTATTTATTTAGAGAGAATGCAAGCAGGGGAGGGGCAGAGAGAGAGGGACACAGAGAATCCCAAGCAGGTTCTGCACTGTCAGCACAGAGCCCCGCTGGGGGCTCAAACTCATGAACGGTAAGATCACGACCTGAGATCACGACCTGAGACGCTTACCCAACTAAACCACTCAGGTGTCCCTGAAGTGACTCATTCTTAAACACGAACAGTCAAGGTCACCAACATCTGAGGAAAGCTGATTACATCAAAGGCAAGGACCAAAACAATCAGAGAGAAGGAACTCAGAGGAAACAGACCATGCAGGCTGCTGGAGGAACTTGAACAAACAACTCTAGGGAATATCATCAGAGAGATAAGAGGAAAGATCACCTCTGCGGGACCCAAACAGGATGCTGAAAACTGGGAGCATTCCAAGAACAAGGAAGAGGGCTTAGAAATTGAATACATGATAACCGAGATTTAAAAAACCCACAGATGGGTTGGAAGATAAAGACCAAGAATCGCCCAGAAAGCAGAACACAAAAGGAATGTAATGAAAAGCAGGAGGAAAGAAATGAGAAACTCAGGGTCCGTTTCAGGATGTGTGCCATTTGATTAAAAGTTTCAGAAAGAGGGGATAAAAACCAAAGGGAAAGAAATCAAATAGGTGACGTTAAGAACATTGTCCAGGAAATGAAGGATGTGAGTTTCCAGATGAAAGGACCACCGGATGTCAGCAAAAAGGATGAAGGCAGTTCTCGTGGGGACACATCCCGAGGGCGTTTCAAAACACGGGGGACAGAGAGAGGCTTCTGTAGCTTACAAAGAGTAAAAATGCTCAGGAAACAGAATAATACGGCACATTCTATACCCAGCTGCCCAAATAGAAGGCCTCCAAAATTCTGGGGGGAAATGATTTTTCAACCTAATTTCTATGCCTGGGAAAACCACAAGTTAGGTGTGAACGTTGAAAAAGATATTTTCAGATATGCAATGCAAAAACGTACTTTCTACGCACTCTTTGTTAGGTACCGGAACATGTGCCCCAACACAGCTAGGGAGCAAACCAAGGGGAGGAGACAAGAAATAAAGGAATAGGATTTGCTGAGGAAAGAAGGAAATTCTCAGCATGAGAGTGAGGGAACTAAGCAAGTCTAAAGAACCACCAGCCCAAATAGAGCAGGAGGGCAGAGGCTCTAAGAAGAACATCGGTGGGTCTATTGGGTTGAATAGCATCCTCCCCAAATTCATAACTACCCAGAACTTTGTAGGGTGACCTTATGTGGAAATAAGGTCTTCGTAGGTGTAATCAGTTAAGAAGAGGCCATACATGGGGTGCCTGGGTGGCTCAGTTGGTTAAGCGTCCGACTGCGGCTCAGGTCACGATCTTGTGGTCTGTGAGTTCGAGCCCCGGGTTGGGCTCTGTGCTGACAGCTCAGAGCCTGGAGCCCGCTTCGGATTCGGTGTCCCCTGTCTGCTCTTCCCTTGTTCATGCTCTGTCTCACTCTGTCTCTCATAAATGAATAAATGTTTAAAAAAAAAATTTTTTTTTTTAAAGAAGAGGCCATATGTATAAGGATGCCAGTTGTACTGGGCCCCTAATAATATGACTGGCATCCTTACAAGGAGGTCATGAGAGACACAGAGGGAAAGGACACATCGAGGGAAGAAGGCCACGTAAAGATGGAGGCAGAAATTGCAATGATGCAGCCACCAGCCAAAAAAGCACCAAGGACTACCAGCACCAACCGGAAGCCAGAAGAGAGGCACGGAGCATTTCGGAAGGAGTCAGCCCTGCCGGGACCTTGATTTTGAACTTCCGGCCCCCAGAACTGCGAGAGAATAAATGTCTGCTGTTTCCAGCCACCAAGTTTGTGGTAATTCGTTAGGCGACCCCTAGGAAACGAATCCAGCAGGAAGAAACTCAAACAAATAGGAACTAATAGATTTCCTGTTGGCATTGGTTGACTTGGAAAACAACATTAGAGGGTTTTCAGGTCCTGGTGGAGAATTTAGGGGAATTAATGACAGCAACCCAAAACAAATAAATCAATTAGAAGTGACTCCATGAAGGGGCGCCTGGGTGGCTCAGTCGGTTAAAACGTCTGACTCTTGGTTTTGGCTTAGGTAATAATCTCGTGTTTAGTGAGTTCGAGTCCCATGTGGGGCCTGCACTGGCAATGCAGAGTCTGCTGGGGATTCTCACCCTCTCTCTTTTTGTCCCTCCCCTGCTCATGCGCTCTCTCTCTCTCTCTCTCTCTCTCTGTCAAAAATAAATAAATAAACTTAAAAAAAAAAAAGGGACTCCATGAAAAACAAAAGGTTAAACATTGGAAGTAAAATCATTGTACATCACTTGGCTCAAGAGTAAACAACACTTACACAGACATAATGATATATACATTGATGCGAACTTAACCAAAAACTAAAAAACTAATGGTAGGATGGAGAACTTTATATCCTTATCTTCCATCCTAAGGAGGCAACCGGTAACGCCTCAGATGGACACATCAGGAAACAGCAGAATCTTGTTCAGAAACATGAGAGTGAACATTAGAAGGACCAGCTAAGGAATCTTGAGGGTGTTACCTCTGCGGAGCAGAAGTGGGGGCAGAAGACTGCTTTTTTTTTTCACCCTATTTAATTCCTTAAACCAAGTATGTGCATGACTTTAATAAAAATAACACACAAAAAAAATTCCCTGCCTTTGGGTGCCTGGGTGGCTCAGTCTGTTGAGCCCCTGACTTCAGCTCAGACCATGATCTTGCCGATTCTGGGTGCGAGCCCCACGTCAGGCTCTGTGTTGTCAGCATGGAATCTGCTTCAGATCCTCTGTCTCCCTCTCTCTCTGTCCCTTCCCCGTTTGCACTCTCTCTCTCTCAAAAATAAATAAACATTTAAAACAAATTCCTGCCTCAATTTTGAATGCTTTGGGCAAAAACATGGGTTCTGAAAGGCTTCCTGTTCATTGCCTTCCATCTTTAACAGAGATGGTGGAAAGCGGGAGAACCAATAATGCCTTGATTTAGGGTTCGTAGTGTGGTCCCCAGACTAGCAGTTTCAGAGTCATTCGGGGACTCGTTAGAAATCCAGAGTCTCTGGCTACACGCAAGGCCAACTGGCTCAGAGGCACAGAACGTGGGGTCCAGCCAGCTGGGTTTGACACACCCTCCATGTGACTCTTGATATTGGCTCCACTTGGAGAACCACCAGCTCAGTGAGTGGGAGCTTCGTTCGTCCCCATAAAAGCCAGAGGTATGGCCCTTTTCCAGGCACAGACTGACACCCCAGCCACCTTGCGAAAAGTAAAAGTGTCGGCTAAGTCAAAAACTTCAATAGCGTTCACTCCTGATTCAGTGATCCTAATTCTAGGATTCCGTATTATACATGGAAATAAGCTTTGCCCATAAAAGTATTCATCACTGTGTTACTTATGATGGTGGAAATCAGAAACAACCTAAATGCCCACATGATAGGTATTGGGTTAAATACACCCATAGACTAGTTACAAATGTTTATCGGGAGAGGCGGAAGGATACAGAGCACGCTTACATGTTAGTGGAAAGAAGCAGGATTCAAAATTCTCCATACGCATGAGCACAACAATGTGGGGGGAAAAAAAAAGGAGGAGGAAACATAGTCTGGAAGGAAACCCTTCCAAAGTGTTCAATAGATGGGACCGACGTTAAGTTTTTTTCTACTTAATTTTTTTTTTTTCTTTGCAAAGTCTTACAGTGAGCGCGTGTGTAACTCATTTAAGCAACCTATCTCTGGGGAGACAAGTTGGAGGACAAATTGAGAAGGGGCCACTGCTTTCGCAAGAGAAAGGCTTCTCCCAGTTGGAGAACTTTAGACCTTCGTGAGCCCCTTCACGGTCTCCTTAGGGCTGTGCAGGCAGAGAGGCGGGGAGGGGAGGAACCCCTGATTTATGTGCTGTTCCACCCCCAGGGTCTGGCATATTGTAGATGCTCAGTAAATATTTGAGGAAGAAAGCGGGGCTCTCTAAAAACTTGTGATGGAGATGTGACAATGCAACTTTATCTCCCCACCAGACTGTGACTCCTTTGAATGATGGAACTTTCATCTACGGCCATACCACACTGAACACGCCTGATCTTATCTGAATGATGGCACTTTTTTGGTTTGGGTTTTGTAATCTCTAGAAGCCCCTCTGAACACAAAGAAGTGGTCAAAGAAAGCTGAATAAATTATGATCCTGATATTACAGACGATGAAACTGCTCATGGTCATACGGCAAGGTCATGGCAGATCTGGGCATCAAGGTCAGTGAACTAGGTTTTGAACTGGGTGCTTTTTGGGGGGCAGTCAACTGCATAAAGCAAGTCCCCGGTCCCCCAGCACTCTGGGACGACTGGCCTATGCAGAAATCCAAAGATCTGCAGAGTCCTCCCTACAGCTCCCGCTGGCCAAAGGTCATGTGCTAATTAGGCTGCCAAAGTCTACAGGAGGGCTCAGCAGTTCTAGCTCAGATGACTTCCCTGATGTGAGGAGATAGAGCCTCTGCCTGTAAGGATTTAGACAAGCAGAAAAGACAGCATTCCTGGCAGGGGCACTTCTTAATTAAAGGCACCAAGAAGAAAACAAATGAAATTAATGGCTGGTACACATGACTATCCTTGTAAGCATGTGAGGCACTCAGAAGAATCTGGCGATCTTTCCAGAACCCAGTGGGTAACTTACATATGTTTATCAAATGAACAGTTGATGGATGGTTGAGTGGATGGATGGATGGATGGATGGATAGACAGACGGACAGACGGATGGACAGATGGAGAGATGTCCATCAATGGCAGAATAGGAGTTAAGGGGTTCTGGAAACAGACAGGCTTTGGTTTGAATCCTGGGTTTGCCCTTGTCTGCAGTGTGAGCTGAGGATATTACCTCATGTCCTTGAGCCAGGTTTCTTTGAGAAGCTTCTGGAAGTTGTGTCAATAAAATAATGCATGTAAAGTACCGCGCTCATAGTAAGTGCTCAAGAAATGGGAGTTATCATCTGCATTGGTCAGAAAGGGAAGGGGGAAGAGATTCGATGGAGGCTGAGTTGGCTTACTACTATGTCATCTCCTTCCTACAAAGGAATCCTGAATTTCCTTTGGGAAGCCATGTGGTTTGAGTAGCTTAAGCCAATCAGTGTATTCCTCAGGTCAGGGAACGTGTATGAGACAAAGCGGTCCAATCAGGGTGAACCTCAGAGTATTTGCTGTGAATGCTGGGACACGGCCTTTTACTCTCCTTAGAGGTAACAAGGAAGCTGGTAGCCCAGAAGCTGGGAGCACCAGCCTAATGACAAAGGTGATGTTCCGGAAGGCAAAGTGGAAAGACACGAAGAAATGTTGTTGTGCTGCTGGATCCAGCCTCACCTGAAGTTGGTGACCCCTGGACTTTCAGACAGATAAGCCAATTAATTTCTTTTATGTTTAAAGCTGATCTAAGCCAGATTTTCTATAATCAAAAGTACCCTGATATAGAAAGGAAGCAAGAATGAAAATATATGAATAAATGTCTAAGGAAGATGAAACAAGGGTGGGGGGTATCACATTGTAAGAGACTTTGGATGGCAGAAATTGGGGCTAAATTTTAGCTGTTAATTCCCACTTGACATACAAACAAACCAAAGCCAGGGGGTTAAACAAGAAGCAACTTGCCAAGGGGTGCCCGAAAGGCTCAGTTGGCTAAACAGCCGACTCTTGGTTTCGGCTCAGGTCATGATCTCATGGTTCATGGGTTCGAGTCCCGCATAAGGCTCTGTGCTGACAGTGCGGAGCCTGCTTGGGATTCTCTCTCTCCCTCTCTCTCTGCCCCTCCCCTGCTCTCTCTCTCTCTCTCTCTCTCAAAAATAAACATTAAAAAAAAAAAAAAAAAGAAGCAGCAGCAACTTGCCTAAGATGACACAAGTTAGCTAACTTAACTAAGTGTGGGGCTGGAACTCAAAACCAAATCCTCTGACTCAGTGCCCTTTCCCACATACACACAGCCATTATACCTACGGAGAAACATACCCCATCCGAGGGCAACAAATCCCTGGAGGCACTTCTTTTCTGAGAAGAAGGAGATGACGAGGAGCGTGTGAAGGTAGAGGCCTTCCACCAGCAGCCAGGCATAGTTGGCCATGATGCAGTACTGGAAGAAAGCCATGACCAGCTTACAGCCCACCTGGACAGAGAGAGGCAGGTGAGCCCCAGGCTGGGTAACCATGGGCTTCCCTCTGGTGGCCACCCCCAAAGGAAGTGACACGGTATGCCGCAGACCGAGTCCCTGAGGTTCATGGCCCTCCCCTGTGGCCTTCCATTATCGGAAGACCAGGCCCACAGAGTTCTCTAGAGGGTGGAACTCAACATGCCAGCCAGCTCAGTCAAAAAGGTTAATGGGCCATCACAGAAGCAGGAACCACATTCAAATTCTGGAACTGGCTGCCAGTTGTAAACCTGTGTCAGATGTCGCCCGACTCCCAAGTTCCTCATTTGCAGGTGAGAAAAGAAGCCTGGAGAAGGAAAGGGATTTCTGAGCAAAGGGTTAACAAAATCCTTTCCACGCTGTTTCCCCAGAAACGGTTGAAGGGATGTACCAATTACGTTAGCAGGCAACACTGACGGTGAAAATGGCCCCTGACTGGCACTCTGCATCTGTTCCGGAGAGCTCTAAATACCGGATGGGGGCACTTGATTCAGTGACATTACAGGCTTGTCTCTTGCCAGGATCACTGGAAGCTATGCCTGGGGGGATGTGGGGCACGGGACTTGGGCGCCATGAAGGAAACCATTCCCACGCTGCAAGGGTCCCTTTCCTTTCACTGAGCTGTCCCCTGGGGAGAGGACAGCTCCTGGAATGGCCCGAGGGCTGCTGCATGGACTGCTTCGAGGTCACATCCACAGAGGAGAGGCACCTGGTACTGTCCTGCCGGCCAGCTGTGGTTCCTGCCTTACGGCCACCCACAGACTCTGCTTCTCAGAGGTTCCCATGCTTGGCTCGCGAGTCTAATGTTTAGTAGAGCCCTAGAAGGTTCCTTGCGGGGCATTGCTGGACTTCCCCGGTGCTGGTCAGTGAGAGGGTAGGGTCTGAATTTAAATCTTCTGACTCCCACACTGGTTACTCTTACTTCAGCCTGCCAATCTCCCTAAGGGACAGGGCCCTCCTGCAGGGACGGCTCAGTTTGAGTCAAAATACACACACACACACACACACACACACACACACACAACTACAAATAGTACAAACTTAACAGATCTGTTAAGGAATTACAGATGTGAGTGGTGGGAAGTGACAGGCAGGTTGACTGAACCAATCTCAATCTCCAATCCCTTTCTCTCTTGTTTGCCTCTGCTGTGGAGACTATGATGGTAAAAAAAAAAAAAAAAAAAAAAAACAACCCTCAATCTCCCAGCCTCCTTTGCAGTTAGGTGTGGTCACATGACATGGTTCTAGCCAACGAGATGTAGATGGGTGTCTTGGGGTGAGGATTCTTTCCCACCATAAAAAGGCAAAGCTGCCCAAAGACAAAAAAAAAGTTTCATCTTGACTCTTTTTTTTTTTTTTTTTTTTTTTGTGCCTGGAACATGGATGTGAAGCCTGGGGTTGTGGCAGCCATATTGTAAACATGCGGTGTAAAGCATGGAATCAAACATGGCAGAGCAGAAAGAGGGAAAATGACTGGGCCCGCCATGGCATCATGGAGACACTGTGCCACCTCTAGATTGCCCATCTGTGGACTGCTTATGTGGGAAACAACTCCTGTCTGTTTAAGCCACTGATGTGCAGTTTTTTGTTACATGCAGCGAAAGAGAGTCTCAACTGATACACAGAGAGATATTGCTAAGAAATAAGGCTCTCTAAGCACTCAGAAGGAGAAAAGTGTTGGACTTAGCAAAACAATTGTTGCACTGCAGACCTGTGTGTGCAGACATATAGGCATACACTCATACTTTTCTTTCTACCACCAACCTCAACCCTCTTTAAACTTGACCATCTCTCTACCGTTAGGACTCTGCAGATGAAGGGAAAAGACAAGCCTTGCTATACATCTAATTGCCACAGTGGCTAATCCACTCCTGGATGCTGGGAGCTGAAGGGCAGCCCCCAGGGGCTTCCTGACAAACTGCTCTCATACACGACCCAGACCTTGCATGGGGAGACATGGGACTCTCCCCAAACCTCCTGGCCCGGCTCCAGTACTGGGCCCTCTACGAAGCATTGGGTGCAGCCTCGCAGGGACCTTCTGGAAAGGCAAAGTGGCTACCACCCTCTCCAAAGTCAGGCTGGGGAGAGCGGGCCGCCCTGGCCACACCCCAGGGCACGCAGGCATGTTACCCTGTGGGCATCACAGTGAGCGACATCGTCCGAAGAGAAGAGGACCGCGTCCTTGATGAAGTTGGACAGGGCACGCAGGATGAAGGACACAAACAGGTGCATGTGGATGTAGTTGCGGGTGCAGTGGAGCCTCCTGGAGGGAGAGAATGCAGGGCCATAGGGGCCGGAACCACAAGGGCTGTACAACCTCGAGCAAGCCTTTTCACCTTCCAGGGACTTTGTTTCCTCCTCTGCTGGAGGGGTCAGCATCGGTTGCTTGCTCCTCGTCTTCTGGTACGAGAACCACGCTCTCTTATGGGGAACCCACTGCAGCTCTGGGTGGGGGCGACTCCACCCTCCCACCCTGTTGACAGACTCGATCAATCACAGTACTCCACCCCTGGCTCAGGTTGGGCATGTGATCCAAGCCCAGCCTATGAGAACACCTCCGCCCCCCATGCCCCCCAGGACTTTTCATTGCATCTAATGGAGAAGAGGCTCTCTTTGTCCTGGTGTTACCTAGCTGGTGCAAGGTGCCCCTGCAGAGAGCCTGCCTGAGGATGTGGCCAACGCAGACTGGAGAAAGGGAGGGAGACACATCTAGTTCTGCTGATACCTTTGACCACCTCGAGCCGGCCATTCCTAAAGCCAGAGACCCCTGAACTTGTCAGTTATGTGTGCCAGGTCACCTTTGCTTTCTTAAACTGTTTTTTTTTTTCAATTTTTTTTAATGTTTATTTATTTTTGAGACAGGGAGAGACAGAGCATGAACGGGGGAGGGTCAGAGAGAGAGAGGGAGACACAGAATCCGAAACAAGTTCCAGGCTCTGAGCCGTCAGCACAGAGCCCGACGCGGGGCTCGAACTCGCGGACCGCAAGATCGTGACCTGAGCCGAAGTCGGATGCTTAACCGACTGAGCCACCCTTAAACTGTTTTAAGGTGGATTTCTGTTTCTTGTACCCAAGAGTCTGGCTAACATACTTGTAAAATGGGGGTGATAAGGTAGTTAGAGCATTGTGTGAAAATCAGAAATAGTACATGTAAAGCAACTGTGCGTTACGTTCTTAGTTATATATACCGAGTCAATGTTGAATGCATAAAAGAATGAACGAGGTCTCAGAAACATCAATGTTTTGCCACAGGTAACATTTAGATCAAGGGCTAACAAAGTGGCCCACCCAGACCTTCCTTTCTCTTGGCCCGGGCAACTGAAAAAGACCCAAAATCTGTGTCTGCGGAAGGCTGGGGAGACAGAGAGCTGGCAGTGTGTTCTCACCGGAAAGCACAGAGGACGCTGAGGGCAACCAGGAGCATCACCAGGGAGGAGCTATAGCCCACGGTGTACATGACCTTCAGCTTCAGCAGGTACTCGTGCTGCAGAGAGAGGCATGCATCAGTCCCAGCCTGAGTGCACCTGCTCAGGCTGCTTGAACCTTTCAACTCTTAATGCTGTGCTGATCCGACTCCACGGACATCAGTTCACAGACTCGGAACACCTTGGCTTTGGTAAAGATCTTGGGGATCATCAGATGCCAACTCAAACTTCTACCCCGTGTACAGGACCCCTTACCCCCACCCTGAATTCAAGCCTTTGCTGGAATACCTCCAAGGATTCAGGGCTCACTGCCTTTTGAGGAAGTCATCTGGTATACAACAGGGCAGAATATTAGATCGTTTTTTCTCATGTGAGACTAAAACCTATTTTAAATTGCAGCTATTTGTCCCAATTCTGCTTCTGGAGCCACTTAAAATAAACTGAATTTGTCATGTACCTAAGACCTGTCATTATTTTTTTAATTGTTTTTAAAAGGGTTTATTTATCTTTGAGAGACAGAGCGTGAGGTGGAGAGGGACAGAGACAGAGACATAGAGAGAGAGGGAGAGAGGGAGACACAGAATCCAAAGTGGGGCTCCAGGCTCTCAGCGGTCAGCACAGAGCCCCACACTGGGCTCGAACCCATGAACCATGAGATCATGCCCTGAGCCCAAGTCGGAAGCTTAACTGACTGAGCCACCCAGGCGCCCCTCTGTCATTATTTTTTTTAAATAAACTTTTCATTTTAGAATAGTTTTGGACTTATGGAAGAGTTGCAAAGATCTTAGAGAGGTCTGTCATTTCTTAATACAGCTTTTCTACCCTCTCATCTCTCACATGTATTTTAGCCATACATTTTTCCTGTGCCTTCCGTATCTTTCCACAGTCCTTTATCCTTCTGCTCAATTAATATGCTCCAGTTTGTCAATGCCCTTCCTAAATAAGACACCCAGAACGGACAGCTGGAAAGATCTAGTGTATTCTCTGACCAGGAAGGAGTAGAGTGGGACCATCACCTCCCCGGACCCATACACTGCACTTACACTAACACAGCCAAGCAGGCATTTACTTAACGTAGCCAACAGCCCCTTCACATTACTGACTCATCTTTGATTCAGAAAGATCTCAATGGAGGGGCGCCTGGGTGGCTCAAGTTGGTTGAGTGTCCAATTCTTGATTTCCGCTCAGTCCATGATCTCATGGTTCATAGGATCGAATCCCCATGCTCTCCCTCTCTGTCGCTCTCTCTCTCTCTCTCTCTCTCTCTCTCTCTCTGCCCTTCTCCCGCTCATGTGCACACACACACTTTGTAAAAAGTGTTACACTATGTACACACTATGTAAAAAGATGTTAGAGGTTAATAATGGTTAACTTTGGATGATAAGTTTGTGGCTAGAGTGGGTATTTTTATTTGTATTTTTTCTACTCTTTTCATTTTTCTCCAGTGGGTAAGTACTATGGTATAATCAGAAGAAGAGGGTAATTAATTAAAAAATAATAATAATAACAGGCACAAGAATAGTATTGGGGAAATCTTGCTGACAGCTGTTCATATGAAAATGACCTTGAGGTTCAAATGGCCCAAGCTCCGTGGTGTTAAGAAATGTACCGGAGGTAGGGGCACCTGGGTGGCGCAGTCGGTTAAGCGTCCGACTTCAGCCAGGTCACGATCTCGCGGTCCGGGAGTTCGAGCCCCGCGTCGGGCTCTGGGCTGATGGCTCGGAGCCTGGAGCCTGTTTCCGATTCTGTGTCTCCCTCTCTCTCTGCCCCTCCCCCGTTCATGCTCTGTCTCTCTCTGTCCCAAAAATAAATAAACGTTGAAAAAAAAAATTAAAAAAAAAAAGAAATGTACCGGAGGGAGGGGCACCTGGGTGGCTCAGTCGGTTAAGCGGCCGACTTCGGCTCAGGTCATGATCTCACGGTCTGTTAGTTCGAGCCCCGCGTCGGGCTCTGTGCTGACAGCTCAGAGCCTGGAGCCTGTTTCAGATTCTGTGTTCCCCTCTCTCCCTACCCCTTACCTGCATATGCTCTGTATCTCTCTCAAAAATAAATAAACATTAAAAAAAAAAAAAAAAGAAATGTACCGTAGGGAAAGAACACAGGCTTCAGAGCCAAGAGACAAGGTTTCCAAACCCACGACTGTTACTCACCAGCTGTGTGACCTTGGGCAAATTACTTAACTTCTCTGAGCCTCAGATTCCTCATCTGTAAAATGGGGATAATATCTACCTTGCAGGCTCATTGGAAGAACAAATAAAGTATCAGGTAGAATATCTAGACAATGCCTGGCACTTAGAAGACACTCGGGGCATGTTCATTTTTCCCCACCTCCACCCTCCACCCCCATCATCCACCCTTCAACATGAGTCACCAGTCCAAGATTATGGTATGAACTATGAGGTATAAGATAGCTGCTAAAAAAATTAGGCCTCTTCTCAGTTACAGTAATGAAGTGCTGTGGGGACAGTGGACAAAGTTGGAACGTTTGGAGTGTTTCGTCCAGTTCTGGGCATCATGCTATTTTAAGAGGCACATTAACAAACTGGAACATTTCTGGAGAAGGGAAGAAGGCATGGAAAACACTGGGCACATTATGCCTTGAGGAAACTAACAAATAAACTTAAGGAAGAGAAAGATTAGAATGATTGACAGGTAGAAGCGTAAGACCCAATCGGTGAGCTCCAGTGGGACGAAGTTACCAAGAAGAAATCTGACTCAGAGTGCCCGAAAGTTTTCTGAAAGCAAGAGGTGGCCTTCGATGGGATGGCTGTCATGTGACATTGAGCTTCCCCACTAATGTGATGGCGGTCCCAGAAGCCAGGAGCCACCTCCCAGGGACAAGAAAGAGAGCCAAGAGGGTGGTAGGTTGCATTAGATCCATACTGCCTAGACTTTGGGATATTAAAGAGCAGTCAGATGTCAAGAAATTAGAGGCCCCAGGTGTCAGCCGATAATCTTGCCACGGGCAGGATGAGCCGCATGCTAGACGGCATGAGCCTCACTCCTGAGGACACCTGATTTTGCAGCTCTCGGTTCAGAAACAGATTTGGGCCCGTCTGTTGCAGCGTGAGGAGGCATGGGGCGTTCAGGCTGATTACTCTGCACTGTCCTGTGGCTGGGTTCATTATTGCCGGGGGACCCTCAGGATACCAGCCAACTCTACTCATTCCTGTGTTATGTCTTTAAGTTCGGACCCAGAAAAAGCCTTGCTCCTAGGGGGCTTGATATGACCTGAGTGCCCTAGCCCTCGATAATCTATAATGGTGCACCAGTCCTCACAGGGCATCAGGTCCAGAAGCCCTGGATCAAGTTGCCTGTCTCTGCTGCGTTTCTTGACTAGGCCACTTTCCTTCTATATCCTTTAGAGCAGGGGTCAGCAGGCTTTTTCTGTAAAGGGACAGATAATAAACGTTTTAGAGTTTGGGAGCCATTTGGTCTCTTGCAACTACTTAACTCTGCCCTTGTAGTGCAAATGGGCGTAGCCATGTTTCAATAAAACTTTAGTGGCAAAAGCAGGCGGTGGGCTGGATTTGGCTCAAGAGCTATAGTTTGCCCAACTCTGCTCCAGGTAAGCAAACCTGGTCTTTCTGCTAATCTGAGTCCGCTATTGACTTTTGTTAATGAATAGAGTATTATGTGCCAAGTAAGGAAATTAAAAAAAAAGACAACCAACAAATGTATATTTCCATCACCCTTTGATTAAAAGAAAAAAGACATTTCAACAATAAGAAATAGGATGATTCAAACCTCAGGATAAAAGGCAAAGTGTGTGGACCAACATCTGGGCACGAGGAAATCACGCTGGTCGGGAAACCCTTCCGATCTTGGGAATTTTAATTTTTTAATTTTTTTACGTGAGCTGAAGTCAAGGTGAGTCTCCTTTCCACTATTTTTGGCCAATTAATATTCTGAGTTAAGTCCAAACTTTGCATTTACCTTTGTTAACTTTCAGTTCCTTGTTTGGAGATGTTACAGTTTCAACCCTGGATGGATATCATGGTTAAGGCCCTGGGCTTTGTTCTTTCCCAGCTGATTAGTCTAAGCCAACAGAGTCTCAAATGTGGTTTCAGTAGGCATAACTCACAAAAACAAGAGGTCCCTGGGGTCTCAACAATTCTTAAGAGTATAAAAGGATCCCAAGGCCAAAAGGTTTGAGAACCACTGGCCTAGGCCTCTCCTGTATTCCACCCCCCTGCCAGGGATGGTCGAGGGGTGGGCAGGCTCAAGTCACTGGGCCACTGAGATGTGAGGACAGCTTGCTGGGGTTTGGTAAAGAAGCTTTCTTGGGGCACCTGGGTGGCTCAGTCATTTAAGCGTCTGACTTCTGCTCAGGTCATGATCTCATGGTTCGTAAGTTCGAGCCCCGTGTCAGGCTGTCTGCTGTCACGCCAGAGCCTGCTTTGGATCCTCTGTCCCCCTCTGTCTCTGCCTCTCCCCCACTTGTGCACTCTCTCTGTCTCTCTCAAAAATAAATAAATTAGGGGCGCCTGGGTGGCGCAGTCGGTTGAGCGTCCGACTTCAGCCAGCTCACGATCTCACGGTCCGTGAGTTCGAGCCCCGCGTCGGGCTCTGGGCTGATGGCTCGGAGCCTGGAGCCTGTTTCCGATTCTGTGTCTCCCTCTCTCTCTGCCCCTCCCCCGTTCATGCTCTGTCTCTCTCTGTCCCAAAAATAAATAAACGTTGAAAAAAAAAAATAATAAATAAATAAATAAATTAACTTTAAACAAAATTAAAAGAAAAAAAAAAGAAGAAGAAGAAGCTTTCTTGCTCTCAAGAAGGAGCCATAGGAAATCGGGCTATCCCTTCTCCTGGACAAGCAGGCACAGGGGAGTCTGTGGCTATCGTCACCAATGGCAGTCATCTTACATCGAGGGAGATGCCAGCCTGGGGAAGGAACCATCAGGATAGCAGGGAGAGAGATGGAGAGAGCCCGGTCCTTGGGCAGCTTCTTAGTGCCACTTTATAAGAGCCATGGAGGCTGTTCTCTGCAGCCCAGTTCCATGAGCCACATTCGTTTATTAGGCAAGTTGGAAATTTCTTTCTTGCAGCCCAAAGCATTCCTTTGAACTTCCATGCTGCCGCTCGTCATAAGAATGTTCCCTCTTCATTCTATGGATCTTACCAACGTGATACACATAAACTTCCTGTCCTCATGTAAGTCAGTGATAGAAATGGTAACCTGCAGGGATCAGAGCCCATCCACCCCCCCCCCAAGACCATCTGTACCCACTGATCAATCTTTTTGGGTCTCGTTATTAAATTATCCCACTCTGGCCAGATCTGAAGACTTCATGTGTCTCCCCCAACTGGATAACAAGCTCTTCCCTTGGAGGGAAGAAATTTGAGCCTCCAACTTGGTCCCCCAGTCAGTGTCTTTCATACAGAGGACTGACTGGCTAGAGAGAGGAGTCTCAGAAAAACTTGAGAAGTGGGCACGGTCTGTCTTCCAACTGCAGCCTTTCTCCCTTCACTCTGCCCTTTGCCCCCCACGCCTCTCTAACGTGACCCCACCCCATCCTCCAAGGGACAAATGTGCTTCCCCATCCGTATTCCCACTGGGGAGTTTAACCCATGGAAACTGCAAAAGCGCATCTCCTAGGGGAGGCATGCACCATTCCAGGGAGGCAGCAGAAGCTAGAGGAAGGAGCACAGGTTCTTTCTGGAACTGATTCAGTTTCACTCCTGCCTCCACTATTGTCTGAGTGTGTTCCTTAACCCCTCTGAGCCTCAGTGTCCTCTTCTGCAAAATGGAGAAAATAATGGATCCTTCTGAGGACTTAGTGTGATTGTATGTCAGGAAGCCGGCACAGAGTAGGTGTTCAGTACAATGCTAAACATTCACTGGGCACCTAGTAGGCGCCAGGCATTGTGCTGGGCACTGGGGGCCTGCAAATGAATAAGATTCTGATATGTCCCTGCCATATTCCCACATCTAGACCCATCCTTGGCTCACAGTAGGTGCTTAATAAATGTTAAGTGAATTAATGCCTCTGAAGAGCTCGCATTTTGGTGAGAGAAACGGATGCACATGGGCACATGCAGACGATTTCGTGTAACGTAGTAGGTAACGGTGGAACCAACTCAGCATATCAAGAGGGCCCTCCCTGGGGGTGGGGGTGGGGAGAAAGGGCTTTCTGGAGTTGACGGGCAGGAGTGAAGTCTTGGAGGATGTGTATGAATCAGGCAGGAAAAGTGAGGACAGAAGGGGTCTCTGAGACTCACAGACACTTTCCGGGAGGCCTCTGCAGCCCCCGAGGAAGCTCCGCCCACAGCTCAGCACCCCTCTCAAACCAGACCTGCCCCGCAGCAGCTGGGCTCTCTTCTTCCCGTCAGAGCCCGAGACTCCTGAGAGCGAACGTTCACTGAACACTTCCTATGACCAGGCACCCTTCTCAGCACCTCCCTGGATGACCTCATTTGGTTCTCTTGACCAGTCTGTGAGGTCAGAACCATTATTAGCCCCATTTCCCTGATGGGGAAAGTGAGGCACAGAGAAGTTAAGTCCCCCGCACCCCCACCAAGGTCACCGTCAGGGTTAGACTCACCAGCCTGGCTCCAGGCACTTAGCCACCACGTTGGCGCTCTTTTTGTTTCCTGACTAAATCACCCTCAGTCTCGTGGTTGCATGGGGCGGTTCACACTGTGCCACAGTCTCCATGAGCACCGTCTCCAGACTGACAGACTAGGGCAGTGAGGCAGGCCCAACGAACCCCGGCTGATGAGTGGGAGGGGGTGGGTGGCAGGAGCAGCTCCCGGTCCCCTGGTCGTGGCCCTGGGCTGGCTCCACTCTGTCCTCTCCCAGGGGCTTCTCACCCTGCAGGCCCCCAGCCCGAGAAAGAGGGGCGCCCAGGCTTACCCGCTTCTCGTTGGATGAGTCGTTCACATTAACCCCGCAGGCCAGGTCAGGCCTAGGGAAGGCTTCTGACCAGCCGTCCTCTGTGCAGTTTCGAAACACGGAGCCTGTGGGAGCCAAGCATCCTGCAGGTGAGCAGTGGGGACCGGAGGCAGACGGCCTGGTGTCTTGGGTCCCCTCTGCCACACCTTAGGGGCAGCCAGGCCCTGCCCTGTCACTCGGCCCCAGCTGATCCTTGAAGAAGACGTAAGAGTCAGGAAGGAGAGGTGGTGGGAAAGGAATGTAGGGAGGTAGCCTCAGAAAGGGCGAAGACACAGATGTCTGTGTACATGTGAGAGAGACGGGCAGACCGGCTGACCCCTGATGCCTCGATCTACAAACCATGCCAGCTCTGAACACATACTCCATCCAGCCTCCAAGCACCGCTGCCTTCCTCCCGGGGCCCTCACCGCCTCACCCGCCCGCCCGTCCCTCTGTGCCAGGCCCAGGGTTCCACAGACAGGGGGACCTTATCACACAGGTCACAGTCCCCCACGGCCCCACTGACTCTCCTCCACCAGACCCCAGGCCCCTGCAGAACTTCCGGTCACAGCTCCCCAGCCCAGCTTGCTGCCCCCAGGCCCAGCCTCACTGGAGGGCTCTCTTAGGCCCCGTGGCCGTCCCCTCCCACCACACCCCTCACCTCCCCTTCCGGCTCCGATCTCAGCTCCAGGAGGGACCTCCCTTTCCCATCCTCCACCCCCACTGGCTGAGGAGCCACTGCTGGCTTTTGGAGGGTTTTCCCCAAACAGGGGGCTGTTCCCCCGCCCCTGGGTGTTCACGGGAGATAAATAATAAGTCCTCGCGCTTTGAACTGGTAGGACACCAGTTCTCTTTCAGGGATTGTCATGTCCCATAGGACTCGAGGGGCCAAGTGTAGTGCTCGAGGACAGCAGTCCCAAGCGATGATACACCCCCCAACCAAAAAGCCACTGATCTCACTCCCTAACGATTGCGTATTTGCTCAATTACGAAGTCCTGTGCTCTACTATAGTAATACTACACATGATGATGACGACTGTGTGCCAGGCACTGTCCTAAGCTTGTGACAGGTAGCAGCTCATTTAACCCTAACGAGACTATGAACTAGGCAGTTACTTTTATAATAAAATATATCATAACATGTAAATACTGTGCCCATTTTACAGTTGGGGAAACTGAGGCACTCAGTGGTTAAATAAGGTGCTTAAGATCACAGCAGAGGAAGTGAGGGAAGTGGGATTTGAACCCTGAGTCTCAGACCCTTACTCTTTTTTTTTTTCCAGTTTATTTTGAGAGAGCCAGAGAGAGTGCAAGTGGGGGAGGGGCAGAGAGAGAGGGAGACAGAGAATCCCAAGCAGGCTCTACGCTGCCAGCGCGGGGCCCGATGCAGGGCTCGAACCCACGAAACCGTGAGATCATGACCTGGACTGAGACCAAGAGTTGGATGCTTAAACCGACTGAGCCATCCGGGCGCCCTTACTCTTAGCCACACACTATGTGCCGATCCCCTTTCCTTCTCCTGCGTATCCTGATCCCGGGTCCTGCCACCATCTAAAGGCTGGATCCCCCAAGAATCTGGCGTGGTTGGCAGGGACCCGGCCACTCCCAGAGTGAACTTTTCTCAGGCTCCGGGTGCTGCTCCCACGCCAAGGAAGTTCTGTTTCACATTTAACTTCACGTCCTGCTCCCCACACCTGCAAACCACCAGAGCGGCACCGAGGGAAACCTTCCAGGTAGCTGCTCCTCACGGGAGGGAAGGCTTCTTGGTCGTCCAGCAACCAGGACAAGGCCAGCTCCGCATTTCTCTGCATCACTGCGGTCCTCCCGCAGAGCTCACTGTGCTTTCCTGCCTCGCCCAGCAGACGATGAGCTCCCGAGGGCTCCCGGTGCCGGCCCAGAGCCCCTGCTCATCCAGCGTTGGCTGGCTGCCTAGACAAGCAGCTGAGTGGAGAAGAAGCAGCCCCGGGCTAAGCTCCTCTGTGAGAGAACAGGGGGGGTCTGCCCACAAGGAGCTTGTAGAGCAGGAGCCCGAAGACTGGGGAAGGGAAGCTGCCAGTCCAAGAAGGAGCTCCAGGAGGAGTTTCCCTCCATGGACTGACTAGCCCAGCTGCATCCTCTACTCTGGATGCCCAGGAGAGCCGAATGCTGGTCCCTGGGTCCGGCTGCAGCAGGTGTGACAGGGGGCTGGTCACAGCCCTGGAGATAGGAGCCCTCACACGCCACCTGCTCTAATGGGTACCCTCTGGAGGGGCCTTAACCACCCCATTTGGGCCTCCCGTGCTCCTCTCGGACAGGCCTCAGGGTCTGGACCACTGGCTCATAGGGTTCAGGGTCAAATGGGTTCCACTGAGCTGGAGAAATATGGCTGGCATTTCTAGAAGCAGCCACTATGCTAATTTACAGATTCCGATCTAATCCTCACAGCACCCAGTGAGGAAGGCGCTGCTGGCTTCCTTTACAGATACGAAAACCAAGGCCCGGAATTGGGCCACAGGGTCCAGCCAGGACGTGACTCTTCACTGTGCCTCCCTCCCGCCTGGGCACTCTCCCTGCAGTCCCAGGGACAGCTTCCAGCGCCAGGAGACCACGCCCTCTGGACTCTGGGTATGCCCGGCCTATGAAGGAAGGCTCACGAGACCTGGAGCCCAGGTTTCGAACTAGCCAGATCTGAGTCTGAAACCCAGCATCGCCTCTTGGTCATCTTGGGGTCAGCTGGGTGCATGACTTCTCTGTGCCCTGCGGAGTAACCACCCCCTCTGCAGGACGGGGCAGGAAGCACGACAGCATATCAGAATTGCCCAGGCTGAGTACCTGCAAACACCGAGGCATGGCTCCCTTTTCCTTTTGGCCTTTCGCAAACAGACCAAGAGCGGTGGGGCTTGGAATCTCGGGATTTAGTAGGGGCTGGAAGATTTCTAGTTAAGTCAAGGAAGCTACAGGTTGTCAGACAGGAGAGAATGGTGGTCAGATTTAGGCTGGTTGGATGGGAAGTTGAACTACGAGAACACCCACTCCCTGGAGCCCAGAACAGGTTATCAGACAGCGTGTGCCTAAAGGCTGGGCCGGGCCGCCTGTGTTGAGCCCTTCTCACCGACCCAGGGGGATTCCCAACACAGATGCTGAATGTGACCCAGGCCAGACACCCAGCGTGGCTCACAAGGCAGTGCCCTTTACTGACGGGGCTCTTGGCAGAAACGCAGAGACAAGGATTAGCCTCTCTCTGGAGTCCCTTCAACCCCACCCACTTCCCCTGGGTTTAATTCCTAATAGATAAGATCAGTCATTCCCATTTCAGACCAATGTGTACCTCCAGGGACCCTGAGGGCACGGTCAGGATTTTTGTGCATATACATATGTGCAGTTTGGGGAAAAGCCAGTCCAAAGTTTCATCCAATCCTCAAAAGGCTCCAGGACCCTAATCAGGTTAGGAACCTCTACTGCTTTAAGGCTCCAGTCCCAAGATAGAAGAGAAAGGCCAAGGTCTGACCCTGCCCGGGAAGTGTGTTTTTTAATGAGGCACTCTGGAAGACCAGTGTCCTATTAAGAATCAAAGGAATGCATCCTGGAGGGAACACTCTAGACCTTGGCACACACAGAAAAATATCTGGGGGCAGAGTCCAGCCTGCCATTTCTCCAGTCACACGGACAACCATCCTGTCTGGGCCCAGGTGGTGGGTGCCCTGAGAAAGAATTACTTTATTATTATTATTTTCTTCCATCAGAAGGAAGGGTTGGACCAAAACACCAGACTGTCCTCATCGGGTGCTCCTCTCTGGGTTGGGTGGGTGAGCCCTGGAATCCTGTAGGACACCCCTAAGGGGAGCCTTCCCTCCTGAGAGGAGACCGGGGTGCTGGGATCTATGAGGAGTGAAGGTGGAGGTAGGAGATGGTTCTTGGGGACTGAGGCTGGCCTGGCCCCGACCTGTGCTCCTGGACTGGCCAATGCCCTGGGCCTGGGGCTGGGTGTGGCCCCGTGGTAGGGAGGTGGGGGAGGGGAGATGACATTGCCTCCCAATGTGTGGGTAACGCTTGGGGTGCAGGGTCCCTGTGGACAGGCGGACGGGTGGGTCCCGCGGCCCCACAGCGACACCATGTGTCATCAAGAGGAAACTGCAACAGAGGTAGGCGTAGGACCCCAGCTTCCTCCCCCACAGCGTGCAGACCTGAACTGCATTCCTGGGTGAACTCCGGTAGGTCTCGAGCAATGAAAGGGCTGGGGAGCCTGAAAGAGGAGTGAGAGGGCTGCTAGTTAATGAGCCAGGCAGGGTTTCTAGCAATTGATTGGGAAGGATTTGGCCATGAGCACGGATCTGCCTGGCGCTCTGCGGGAAAGTAGGACCGGTGCTGTTGGGGAGGCAGAGGCAACGCGGCTCTGGGAAGGCTGTGAAGGGAAGGCTGGGAAAGGAGGAGAGCTTCTAGTCCCTCCAACAGGAGAACTTGGTCAGTGAGGGAGGAGCACTGGACAGGGAGTCCAGGATCTGGTCCTAGCCTTACACCTGACCAGCGTTTACTCCAGGGCAGCCATGTGTGGATTAACCTCATGGGTCTTTCTAGAGTTCTGTGGGTCCCAGACACAGATGTGGAGGGGTCACGCTGGGAGTGGTCAAGCTGTTGGTAAGTGTCCTAGCATGTGTGTGCAGGTGGGGGGACTTGGGGGGATGGGCGGGAGGGCAAGAAGGGAGAAGAGAGGGAGAGAAAAGATAAAGGAAGGTATTTAAAGTTCATTTCCAAGCACGGCCTTAGGGACCTGTCTTGTTTATTCTCCCCATTTTACAGGCGAGGAAAATGAGGCCGAGAATGAGTAGCCTGGGCTCTGAGGCAGAGAGATACCTGGCTGGACCACACTTTCCCATGTGTCTTGCAGCTAAATGTCACCGCATGACTTAGCTCTGGCAGAGGCAATGTGGGCAGAAGCGGAGTCACGTTCAGGCCTGCTGCTAATCAGAACCACCCGTTTTGGGGGCTCCTGGGTGGCTCAGCCGGTTGAACGTCCGACTTCGGCTCAGGTCACCATCTCGCGGTCTGTGATTTCGAGCCCCGCGTCGGGCTCTGTGCTGACGGCTCGGAGCCTGGAGCCTGCTTCGGATTCTGTGTCTCCCTCTGTCTCTGCCCCTCCCCCGCTCGTGCTCTCTCTCTTTCTCTCTCTGTCTCTCAAAAATGAATAAATGTAAAAAAAAAATATTTTTAGAAGCACCCGTTTTGGACTTTAGGCGGGGAAGGCACTGTGTGAACGAAGGCTTTGAGATTTGGGAGATCGGTCTGTGTCTGCCGCTGGCATCCAAGCAGTAAGCGGAGAGGGGGACTCAAACCTGGTCCCCCTACACTTCCTGTATGTTGGGTACCAATGAGGCTGAGGGGGACAGCCAGCTACCACAGTGTGCTCCCCAAATTTGTGTGTGTGTGTGTGCGCGCGTGTGCACGCACGTGTGCACACATGCGTACTAGAGAATTACAGACTGAGGAATTCACACTCCTCTCCCACACCGCCCAGTCTTGGTTTCCATCCCTAGCTTTGGGATGCTGGTAGGTTTTTGTGTGAAATCATCTTTGTTGGGTCCTTCTTGTTAAGGGCCCTCATTGGCCAGCTTTTCTTGCTGCAAACCAGTGAAGGGGGGAGGGCAGCAGGGCTGGGTCAGGCTTTAGACTTTAAATTTTTTTTTTTCAACGTTTATTTATTTTTGGGACAGAGAGAGAGCATGAACGGGGGAGGGGCAGAGAGAGAGGGAGACACAGAATGGGAAACAGGCTCCAGGCTCCGAGCCATCAGCCCAGAGCCCGACGCGGGGCTCGAACTCCCGGACCGCGAGATTGTGACCTGGCTGAAGTCGGACGCTTCACCGACTGCGCCACCCAGGCAGGCTTTAGACTTCAAATGACCTCATTGAGGCCAGGGGCCAAAGGCCATGAAGCGACCTTGCCTCCACCCAGCATCACCCCCACCACGGGGCCAGAGTCCCACCTTGACCATGCCCTTGAGGACAGAGCATAGTTTTGAAGTCCGAGAAATCTGGGTTTGAATCCTAGTTTCGCTGTCTTCTAGCTGTGAACCTTAAGCAAACTGCTGAGCCCCTATTTGTCCCTGTTATCTCCACCCTACTGGGTCACGTGGAGGAGAAAGGTCTGTGACTTGTAGGGGTGCTGTAATGATTGCACGAGCCCATGTGTTTAAAAATGCCTGGCACGTAGGGGAGCTTCAGCGAATGTTAGTCCCTGAATATCCTCTGTCTGAAACAGTCTACCTGCTTCTCTGCCTCAAATCAAGAAAATCCTTGTAAACTGCAATTTTCCTCCCCAAGAGATCACCCAGGAGGCCAGGGGCTTTCAGGGAGGGTGTGGTTTATCAGCAGGGCCTGACAGAATGGACACATAGGAAGTAAATTTCTGGAAAGTCGGGTTGTGCCAGGGTGGGACCCAGATCCAGGAGCCAGAAGGAGGGGTCTGGTTGCTTAGGGGACAGAAACGTCAAAGGGAGTGGGGGAGCCCATAAATGCAGGTGTGGGACAGAGAGAAGCAAACCCAGTCTCCTTATCACTTCCTGATACAATGCTTCCTGGCCCCCTTCCTTGGGACCCCACGAGTGGAACCTGCCCCACACCCCCAGCAAGGCCTCCGATTCCCAACAAAGACCACCTGTCACCGTTCCAGTCACTGCTTGTCCCTAGAGTTTCTGTGGCCTCCGGGCCAAGGCCCTACCCAGAGGGCCACCCACTGTCTCGCAGCCAAGACCCTCTGGCTGAGAGCTTACCGTTTCTGCCTGTGAGCATCCGGAGGAATTGTGGGCACCCCACTTCCACAGTCTGTCCCAGGGCAGAGGAGGGCCAGCAGCTCATGTTGTCCCACAGCCCCTCGCAACCTGTGAAGAGGAACAGGAGCATTAGTCAGGGATGGAGTGGGGGCCAAGGGCCTTCTCCACCACCTTGTCACCGTCTCCAACCCCCCTGCCTGCCAGGAGTTCCCATCAGGTCCTGACCCCTTGACATCAAGAACCAATGGTATGTAATGTGCTTTTATTTTATTTTTTTAATGTTTACTTATTTTTGAGAAAGAAAGAGAGACAGAGTGCAAGCAGGGGAGGGGCAGAGAGAGAGGGAGGCACAGAATCCAAAGCAGGCTCCAGGCTCTGAGCTGTCAGTACAGAGCCCAATGCGGGGCTCGAACTCACAAGCTGCGAGATCATGACCTGAGCCAAAGTCGGACACTTAACCGACTGAGCGACCCAGGCACCCCTAACATGCTTTTAATCTTTAATCTTTGACTCTGCCGTAAGTGCTCATGTTGAAGGCATGAAGGCAGGAAGGAACATACATTATCTTACATGAGCCTTCTAAGGGTTGGTGTGGATTTCTCTAGAGTGGAAGACGAAATACCTCTTGGCCTCAGTTTGCATTAAAGGACTCGACAGCCACGGGCCTCCATCTTGGCTGCACAGTAGAACCGTCTGCAGAGTTTTAAAAACATACAGATGGGGCCCGACACCCAGGGATCCTGATTTCATCGGTATTGGGAGGGGGCCAGGCATAATGCTGTGTTAAAACCAGCTCCCGCACCATTCCCTGGCGTGCATCCCTTGGAAGCAGGCTTTTATCTGGGCACTGACTTCTAAATTCCACGTTAATGTCCTGGCCTTCCAGTCCTCTGCCTACCAGCTCTGGTTTGGTGCTAGTGGGAGGCAGTCACCGCGTGCTTCACACACAGGAAGCACTCACAGCGTGCTCCAAGGCACCTGCCCTGTCCTGGTTTTATAAATGAAGCAATAAGCAGTGAAAAGAAGAAAGTTCCTGGAGTCACACAGCCCAGAAATGCAGGGGCCGGGAAGTGGCTGTTCCAGCCACACTGCTCGGTGCCACCTCACAGGCTCTGCCCACCTGCCCTGTCTCCTCGGGCACCAACCCCAGCTTCCTAGTCGAAGCCAGGCTCATGGAGCCAGGCTAGGGAAGCTGGAGAGAGGCCAGGAGTCGGGGGAGGCAGGGTGTGAGGCTGGGACAGGAGGGAAAGAGAGAGGATGCGGAGAGCTGGGCTGAGGGCGGATGGGGCTCTTCTCTTGCAGGAGGGCCAGCCCCCAGAGGGATTAGAGGGAGAGAGGAAGTGGGAGCCCTGCCCCCAGGAGGCCAGGCCTGAGGTCAGGATGCCTGGCTAGGGGCTCTGGAGACAGAGAAGCCCCTGAAGTGACAGACAGCTGTGGCCCTGGGCAAGGGAGCTGGTGCAGAATGACAGAGCGTGTGGACACAGAGGCAGGGCTCGGACGGGGCTTGTGCAGGACAGTGGAAGCATGTGGAGACTGAGGACCAGGGTCTGTGTCATTCAAGGAATGTGGGAGATGAGCAGCCCCTTGGATGTCCCTGAACCTTCACCCCGACTCTCACAGCGAGCCCTGAAAGAGCCGCTGGAGCTCTCCATCTGAGACCCCCACCCAAAGCACCCAAGCAGGGTTCTACGGCCATCTAGGCAGCTAGTTGTCCAGATTCCAGCTGTGGGCGCTGCTCGCCCCTCCCGCCGTCGCTCCCACCCCCACCCCATGACTCGGGCCTCCCCAGATGCCCCTGGGACAGCAACACAGTGCTGGGAAGGCCCGTAACAGATGTCCCACTGTGTCTGTCTACTCTGACTTTTTCCGGCATCTGGAGTCTGGGGGGTGAAGCTGACCCGGAACTCTCCGCGGCAGCAGGATGCCTCATTTATAATGAGACACATCTCTTGTAGTGGAAGCAGTTGGTGCACTTCCCAGCTGTGGAAAAATTCAGGGGCCTCTTTCCTCACTTTGGGAGAAATGGATTCAGGGCTGGAGCCGGCCAGGTCAGCCAAAGCATCGGCCCACACCTCCTGCCCCTGAGGCTGGACAACCCATGTCCAGCTGGCCAGACAGATGGGGAGGGAGCCAGGTCACCTGGCAGGCATCCTGCCCCGGGTCATGCTGCGCAGGGCCCACAGGGACACTGCCCTGGTGCTGGCAGAAGGCGGCGGGGAAGTGACTGGTGGTAAGGTGGGAGCCGGCTCCCCTGAGGGTGTCTGGGGTCCCCCTGACAGCTGGGTCACTGTCACGCCCTTCATATCAACCCTGCAGAGCGAAAAGCCTGGGGAAGGGGCCAGCCAGGCTGGCACCGGGCACGTTTCAGACATCGTGCACCCCGTACGGATTGGGTAACGTCGCTGCCCCACAGCAGGGATGATAGAGACGTGGGACGCAAGCTCCAAGAGGCAAAGGGACATGTGTGGGGGAACAGAGCTGCCACTGGTGGAGCTGGGATCCCACCCTCCCGGCTGACCCTGATGCTACTTTCCCGTGGCATTGCTCGTGTCTGGAGCACTGTGACACAGCTGTGACACGGTCACGCTCTCTCCCAGCTTCAGCCTCGCCGTCTGGGGACAGACCCGGTGCTCCCAGTGCAGGAAGCACATCCTCGCTGGCACGCTCTTTTAGCTGGTGCATGGTCGGATGCTTTTCATTTCCATAGCTCCACATTTTTTTTTTTTTTTTTTTAGAAAGAATTTAACATGGGTTAAAAAGCGATTTTACAGCTATTATTGTTTAGGATGGGGCTAAGTTAAAAAATAACAGTCAACTGAAAGAAAAGGGAGGCCTCGCACACTGCTGGCAGGAATGTAAACTGGTACGGCCACCATTGGAAAACAGTATGGAGGTTCCTCAAAAAATAAAAGTAGGACTACCATTGATCTTGCAATCCCACTTCTGGGTATACAGCCAAAGGGAATGAAATCAGGATCCCCAAGAGATATCTGACCCATGTTTCACTATTCATTGTTTCACTATTTACAATACCCACTGTGTGGAAACAACCTAGGTGTCCATCACATGATGAATGGATAAGGCAAATTACAGTGAGATGTTATTCAGCCTTAAAAAAGAAAGGAATCAGGGGCGCCTGGGTGGCTCAGTCGGTCAGGCGGCCGACGTCAGCTCAGGCCATGATCTTGCGGTCCGTGAGTTCGAGCTCCGCATCGGGCTCTGGGCTGACAGCTTGGAGCCTGGAACCTGCTTCAGATTCTGTGTCTCCCTCTCTCTCTCTGGCCCTCCCCCGTTTGCGCTCTGGCTCTCTCTGTCTTTCAAAAATACATAAATGTTAAAAAAAAAGTTTAAAAAAAAATAAAAAAAAAAAGACATCCATGTTGTGACAACATGGATGAATTCGGAGGACACTATGCTGAATAAACTAAGCCAGACACAGACGGATACATGCCGCGTGACCTCCCTCGTGTGGAGTCTGCAAGATTCGAGCTCACAGAAGCAGAATGTAGAATGGTCATCGGGAGCTGAGGTTGGAAAAACGGGGAGAGGTTAGTCAAAGGGCACAAAGCCTCATATGAAGGATGAGTAAGTCTAAGATCTAATGTACAGCATGCTGGGAAAAAAAAAGTCAATCGATTTAAAGAGAAAAGATGAAGGAAACCAGTACAGGTTGTGCATGGCTGCAACTGGGCTCAAGGGACTGTGGCCAGGCGAGCAGGGTGGTTCTGTGTGGCCTCCTGACTGCTGGCAGGGACCTCCCTTGCTTGCACTGTTCCAGGGTGTGAGTGGAGGGCCTCACATCCCACTTCCCACCAGGCTCCTGCTCTGAGGTGGGGGCAGGGAGGCCTGCACAGGTAGAGCATGGATGGGAGGGAGGGAGGGTGTCTTGGCACTAGGTTCCTTCTGGAGTTCTGGTGGGGAAGGGACAAAGCCTGCGTAGTTTTAAATCTTGAGAATCTTGAGCCCCAGCGCTTGCTTCCTCAGTTGGAGGTGAGGGGCCGTCCAATGAGATAAAAAAGATTGGTGGAGCTTGGTAAATGGGGGCTCGTGTTACTGAGCCAGTAGGCAAGGCTCACTGCCTCTGGAAAGGCAGGGCTCAAATGCACACAAATTAGCTGCCGCCTGGGCCAGCAGGGCCCGGGGCAGGTGACGGGCGAACCTCGAAGCCCTCCACCATCTCTGATTGGTCACTGTCACCACTGACTGCCCGGCTGGAGGGGTGGGGTGGAAGGTTGGGGAAGCTCAAGTGGGGAGACAAGAAAAAACAATGTTGGGCCACAAGTGCCATCTGGGGGAGCAGGGGGTGCCTGCTGAGCCATGGCCCCAGAGGACAGCACAGGATCCTGAGTTGAAGTGGTGTTGTGGTGGAGACAGAGCTAGCTTTGGACCCAAATCTACCTTGGGCATGCCAGTTACCTCTGCGGGCCTCAGTTTCCTCATCTATAAAATGGGCATAGTAACATACCCGGGGATTTTGGTGTGGATTAAATGATTTGTGTGCAGGAGAATATTTTCTGATCTATTCATCCCCATTCTGGTTTTTCTCCCCGCCTGTTTTGGTCCCTCCTCCTCAGACTACTGGTTCACATTCTCAGAGGTGGTCAGGAAAACTTATAATCTTCCTAGCTTGGGGTTTCAAAGGCCCTGGGGTATAGAGGGAGGGGAGCAGGAGGAGGTGGACAAGAATTCTGGTGTAAACAAAATGCTTGGGAGAAAACAGAAAAGGAGTGAGACCTCCCTCAGACTTGGGAGGTAAGCAGGGCAAGCGATGAGCAGGACAGGTAAGGTTCCAGAAAGAGGCAGGGGTACCCCGCTGCCCACCAGGCCCGGATGGTGGGATAGCCCACAGGATAAATGGCTGTGGGGACATGTCTAGAGCAGGACCACAGACAGCCTCGCGGCGCCCATGCCTCCCCACGAAACACAGAGGTCTGTCGGCCACCACTCCGTAGAGCTCAAGACCACACGGGCTCCCCCAGGTACCCCAGCACCGTGTGAATCTCTGAAACCCTGGGCAAGTTGAGGAAGATCCAGAAAATATCAAGGCTGAGGTTTCTCCACCCCAGGAGAATGGAGTCAGAATTAAACTTACGAAACTGAGGAAATTC